CTAGTTTTCAAAGGAACTCATCATCACATTACAAGTATGAGGCAAATAAATTTTGCCTTAGAAATAAATGTGAAGTAGCAGATCAAAGAAGAAGGTGAGACAGTTCAGAGAAACCACTGCTAAAGAAGTATAAGGCTTGATAATTATCCTGTTGTTTATTTGCAATCTCTCCCTGACCAAATACAATAAATTCTTAACTTAAAAAGTAATCTAATATTTAAAGACACAGACCAACACTATAAATGGTTTCATAATCTAAATTATAAATCCAAATACACTGCCCTTCAAAAGAAAGAGACTAAAGATGGTAAAGCAGGTCAAGTGTGTTGTCTGAAAAATGAAACAACTGTAAATTTTCTCAAGTGGTGATAACAGAGACGAAGAGGTGTCTCCTGTCCACAAAACCCAAGTGATGCTACAATTATCCTCAAACTGGGTCAAGACACCTCAAGTATCTGATGTGATTCTCATAATCCCTTCTGCATTTTAACTATGTGAGCCTTCTTGTTCCTGAACGTCTTGGGTTTCCCGGTAATAAATGTCACCTTCTTGACCTTTATTTAGTAATAGAAAAAAATGTTTCAGGAACATCTTGAAACAACTCATAGCATTAGAAATGATCTCTTTTTAATCCTGAAAAGTCTAACATCTGAATGAAAGTGCTGGAATCCAAACTATACAACTGTGTAGCAGACACGCTGATGACATTATCCAGATGGATGAAAAGTCCTAAATCCCTAACTATGACCGTCACCAGGGAAAAGTCCATCCAGAGCCTCCTGTCCAGCCTCGCACATTCTCTCTCCTTCACTGTACCCTGGAGGTAAAGGGGGACCTTCCTTCTAGAGCTCACATGCGCTGGGTAGAAATGTCACAAAGCATTGTGCCACAGGACAGATGGCATTATCTCCTGGGAGGTTCTTGGCCTATTTGGATACATTTTTTCAGATTATGCTAGGAGTCACAGCCCCCAAGGAAAAAAGGCTTTAACTAAAATTTTGAAAACTGAATTGCTTGTTTGAACAAACACTGGAGGGATAACATAGAGAGAAGGGCGTAAAAGTACAACCTTAAACATATTATAAAATTGTCACTTATTTTGTAACATCAATATACATTCTTGTTTCCAGGAAGAGCTCTACAAATCTTTTGTACTTTGAATGTCTTTAATATAACACCATAATACCATTTGGAATAGTCATCACTATTTCAAATATGTCCAGCAACGTCTTGTGTATGACCACAGGATGTCCTGATCTTTGCTGGAAAGTGAGGGAAAGTATCTACAGCAATTTTGAGAAGCCTGTTTCCTAAAAAGATTTCACAGACAAGAGCAATATAATCTGGCTTCCAAACGGTGCTCCACAGAGCCCCAGAGTCCTGAAAAGCCCCTCATGGACCATGATGAGGGCAAGGTAGGGGTGTCAGGGGAGAGCCAGTGAGGGGCTTCTCCCCACTCCTCCACTTGTTAACCAGCACAGTTCTGCTTTTATATATTCTATGTATCAAAAATATGTAAGTATATCCAGGCAATATTTACTTTGGGAAAGAGGTTCTACTCTTTAAAAAAAGAGAGACACGAAAATAATCTGAAAGTCACTAGCTTACATGCTAAAGTCCAATATTATGGTCAATATAAAAAATAGATCCTAATCACAAGAAAAATGGATTGCATAATAAAGAGGTCTCATTTAAAGTAGCCAAGGGTGAAAATGGATGAAACTAGGGCTTCCCTGGTGGCTCAGAAGGTAAAGAATCAACCGGCGATGCAGGAGACCCAGGTTCGATCCCTGGGTCTGGAAGATCCCCTGGAGAAGGAAATGGCTACCCACCCCAGTATTCTTGCCTGGAGCATTCCAAGGACAGAGGAGCCTGGTGGGCCACAGTCCCCGGGGTCACAAACATTCGGACACAACTGAGCAGTGACCACGTTCACCTTTAGGACCCCGACAGCTAAATGCACAGTCAGTGACAGCAGCAGAATCCGCTCTGATACGGTGGCGCCTGCCACGTGTGGCGGCCCCCAACAGCGCCCCTGGATACTGACCATCGCTGATTTCAATAACCAATGGATGCTCGAAGGGGAGACACGCTAGCACCCCGACTACCTGCAGTCCCCAGGTGAGCGGGGTTGGGCAAATCATCTTTTCAGAAAAGCTCTTAGTTGCAGGGACCCCTCTGCATTCTTGTTCCTGTTCATTTTCTCCTAGAAGCCTCCTGCTCTTCTTCAGTGGGTAGAATGATCTTTTGAGGCTGATTTAAAAAACTACCACCTTCCTTAAAGCTTGTGGGTCACTCCTGGACTTCCTGGAGGAATTAGTTCAGACCATGACACTCGGAGTGTTCCTTATTTGGTTGGGCGTCCCTGATATCTAGCATTTATCAATCACCTAATGAAAGTTAATTAAGTTAATCACTGAAAGAAACTATAGTTTCAGGGATGTAGAAAATCAGTCCTTATTCGGAACAAACTGGGTGAACCAATCTTTCTGATTTTTCAATAAAAATTAAGAGAGCATGACTTATCACAAAGTAAAAAAGGAATTAGCTATAAATTCTCTTTTTCATTTATTTTAGGTAAGAGGTAGTCATAAGAGACACTTCTGTATCTGAAAACTAAAAATATGTAAATATATGTAACGGATTTCCCTAGGCAGCTTAAATTTCAATGTGACTCACGATCGCCATCTGCTGGAAGAAAGGTTGAATATCTGTTTTAGTTAAAAGAGGGAAGTCAAAATTTAATAACAGATATTAAACACACACACAACTGTTAAACCTATAAAATTGAATCTATAAACTCTAGGACATTCTCAGTAAAAACATTTGTCACATTAAACATTCAACTCCAGAATTTACTCCAGAGCGTTTCAAGTAGAAACAAAATTTAATGGTTAGAATCCACTTAAAATATATTTATTGTTAGTTGTTATATATTAATTCTATCATTGCCACGTGAGAAAAGACTACATTATATTCAGGCTGTTAGGAAAGGAGACAGGAGGAAAAGAATCATCTCCAAGCAGAGTAATCTTTTTTAATTTCTCAAAAGATTATGTGTGCATGCGTCAGTCAGTCGTGCGACCTAATGGACGGTACCCAGCCGGCCAGGCTTCTGCGCCCATAGAATTCTCCTGGCAAGAAGAGTGGAGTGGGTTGTCATTCCCTTCTCCCGGGAATCTTCCCAACCCAGGGATCGAACCCCAGCTTCCTGCATTGAAGGCAGACTCTTTGCTGTCTGACCCGCCAGGGAAACCCCCTCAAAGAGCAAGAAAAGCCAAAGATTAAAAATCAACAATTCCATTAGTGCTTCTCAATAACACGTGACTTTGGAGGCAACGAAAGAGATTATGGTCATGGTCTCATAAATAAAATACTATTTTATTTCACTACCTGATATTCCAAAGACGTTAAGTATATATACAATACTAGAAAAGAAAGAGAGGAATTCAGTAAGCAATGGATCACAAGTCTCCTGGTGAGGGTACACATCTAAAATTGGTGGTGGAGGTGGGGTTTATCAACTGGGAAGGTTTCACACAGTCTGTCACAAGTCTTCTGAGGAATAAGGAAGATAGAGAATGAGTTGAAATATAAGGGAGGGACGCGAAGCAACCTAGCTTCTGAGGGGGTCTCAGCCTCCTGAGGAGACAGGAGGCTCTACCCAGAGTCACAGCGGACTGCACAGCAGAGAATGCCGCTCCAGGCCGGGCGTAGCGGGCCTGGGGTCACAGGGCACAGAGGGCATGAGGGGGAGTCCAGGGACGCGCCCACTGCGCTGGCTGCCACTCAGGACGTGCCAGGAAGCACATTGGCAGAGAAAGAAAAAAAACATGCCAGCCACGACTCACTGGAAGGCGGAATCAACTGTGGCCAACAGGCAAAGCCCGAGTCTCTGCCTCACGAACAGGAGCACGCTTGCAAGTTATTTCATGGAAACTTAAAGGCTGGAATGAAGACACTCGAGTGCCTAAGAGCCTGAACTTGAGCCAGAGCAGGAATTCTGACTTATGTTCTTGTGTGCCGAGGAATGTCCTCCAAATGACTCAACCTCTCTGGTGCCTTGATTTCTCCATTTACATAGCTGTGATAATTAACACTACCTACACCTCAAAGGGATGCTATGAAGATTAAGTAGGTTTTTAATTAAGTAGGTTAAAGATTCAAGTGCTCCAAATAGCACCTGGCACACAGTCAGTACAACCTAAAAATGTTTGCTCTTCTGAATTCAGGAAGCAAGATTTCTTGCTGTTTATGAAGCATCAATCATGGTGTATCCATCACTTTTTGGCTGAATAGCCTTGGTTTCTTTATCAGTAAAGCGAGGATATTTATAGTTGTGGTACAAATGATGGATGTAGCTAAGTGAACAATGACAGGCCAGGTATAAGCACCGGATTGTTCACTTGCACACTCTTTATTATTGCTTATGGAGTAACACAGCTGTACATTTATTGTATTATTTTGTATTATACATTATGTGCTCAGTTGCTCAGTCTTTGCGACCTCATGGACTGTAGCCCGCCGGCTCCTCTCTCCATGGGGATTCTCCAGGCAAGAATACCGGAGTGGGTTGCCATGTCCTTCTCCAGGGGATCTTCCCGACCCAGGGATCGAACCTGGGTGTCCTGCGTTGCAGGCAGATTCTTTACCATCTGAGCCACCAGTGAAGCCCATTGCATCTATACACACTTGGATGCAGCTTTTATGCATGTTCATGTGTGGAGAGAGGGCGTGCGATCAAGACGCAATGGAAGATGTTGGCAAGGAGCTTGCTAGGCCCGATCAGCCTCAATTTGATCCAAAACTGTGAAAGGAGCCAAAATCTATACCAGGTAAGTCCAGAGAATTTTTGGAAAAGACTGAGTTGTTAGTGCTTAGACCAGAGGAGATTCAACAGTGGTGTGTCAAGACATTTTAATTTTTATTTTATTGGCCCCTCGAAACAAGACTGGAGTTTTCTGGAAATCAAACTTTCCTCACAAGCAGAAGAGTTGTACCTTTTCGATTAACTCGTAGCTCTCTTCGAGTTTGAGCAGCCTGTTCTGCACAGATGTGGATGCACGCTGATAGACGGCTCGCCACTCCTGAAAGTCGCTCTCTGAAATCTCAGCCACGGCAAAGCACAAGGTTCTTAACCCTGGAAAAAGGGAGCATGCCCCCCGCAACGTCAGATAAGATTTTGTTCAGAAATCTGACACTTCCATTTGTTTTGAACAAAATCTCATTTCAAAAACATCGATTCAGTATGCTGAAGTCTGACTCAAGTTTGATGGAACCTTTGCTTCAACTGTATATTAACAGGCCTCTGGCCTTTACCACCATCACCTGGCTTTTAATTCCCCAGCTCTTTCAATCCATGCTTCATGCCTCGAGTAACTTTTCTAAAATCCTTATCTGATAAGGTTATTACTTTGCTTGAAGTCTTTTAATCATTCTGCAGGATGAAGTTCAAACCCCAAAGTCTGGCTCAGTCACCACACATCAATTGCCTTTAACCTCCTTCTCTGCCGTCCACTTCCCACCGTAGGGTCTTTGCACAGATTGGTCTTTTTTTCTCCCCTCCATTCCACCCTCCCCCATCCCCCTCCACCGCCTGCCTTGCATCTACTTTAAGACTCAGTTCTGAAAATCATCTCTTTGAAGCCTTCTCCTCTCACCCAGACCCCAACACTTCTGTGGTGTGAAGGACAATGTTTTGTGTTTTTTCTGTGATCTCCTACATGAGCTTGAAGCTTCTGGAGTCCTTCACACCTGTGACTCCAGGGCTGAGCACAGTGGCCGGCTCGCTAACAGTGGCTTCACAGATGCTTATGAAGGAAGGAATGAGGGACCCCACCGGGGTGTACTGGGAGAGCCACCTTCCTCTAACTGTATTTCTTACAGTGGATTTGTAGTATACGGAGTCTAAAAAATTGAGGGACAGCGACAAAAAAAAATACCCATCAGAAACAGCTGGGAAAAAAATCACAGCTGATGTCTGAAGTGACCTACTTCCGTACTCAGAGTCTGCCCATTTTCTAACTCATGTGGAGGTGACCCTGAGCCAGAAAAAAGTCTACAGACTGGAAAGACAAAGAAGCAGAAGATTTGCCAGCCAGGATAAAAGCCGTTAACTAGGTTACCAAGAAGACAATGTTCTCACTCAAGGTCGGTTAGCTCTCAGAATAATTAGGTGTTAGCGATGTCAAGTCAAATCAAATACGGCCGGGAGCACACCGGAAAAAGAAGCAAAGAACACGGGACATAAAACGTCCGGAAGATGCCACGTCCCAAGAAGGAGTACGTGGTCGCCGCCACGCCGCTGCAAACAGAACTTAGCTCTTTGGGCCACATTAGGGACATGTTTTTCTCTTCTGGACACTTGGCTGGAGACTTGAAAGTCAAAGCGAAAGTCACTCAGTCGTGTCCAACTCTTTGCGACCCCATAGACGGCAGCCCCCCGTCCCTGGGATTCCCCAGGCAAGAACACTGGAGTGGGTTGCCATTTCCTTCTCCAGTGCATGAAAGTGAAAAGTGAAAGTGATGTCGCTTAGTCGTGTCCGACTCTTAGCCACCCCATGGACCACAGCCCACCAGGCTCCCCCGTCCATGGGATTTTCCAGGTGAGAGTACTGGAGTGGGGGTGCCATTGCCTTCTCTGGAACTGGTCTGGGAGCTAGAATATCCTTAACATCAGAACCAGAGAGAAGGAAGATGCTCCTCCAACCTGCTCCTTCCTCAATAAAGGAACCTGCAGTATGAGCTAGGTTGTGTTGTACCCGCCATCCCCTCGGAAGTTATGCCTCATGGAATCTGAATCAACAGATTCAGAATGTGAATTCTCATGAATCAACAGATGTGTGTGTCTCCATGCGCTTCCATTTTTGGAGGAGAGATGGTAGAAGGTTCCATATGTCCCTGCTCTTCAAAGCCTAGTGCTTTTAATAATATTCCTATCATTTTGCTGCTTGTATTAAGAGGAAGAGGTTTGGCTCAGAGGTCAGGCTTGGCGCCACCAGCCACAGTTCCGGCAGAAGCAGAGCAGAGTGAAAACTTAGATGGGAGATGCGGATACAGTACCGGTGACCTCTGTTAAGTGTAGAGATAAGAGCCTACAAATTCCTGTAGTAACTGACCCTGAGGCTTAACGGCCCTCACTGCCTTTCGTCTCATCTAGATCGTCTCCCTAGACTACGTTTCGGTACAGAGCGCCAGGACCACGTGTGTTTACCGCGATCCTCAGGCCTCACAGAGCCTGGGGGAGGCAGGGGCTTACAAAAAGGTCTGAGTTAACACTAAATTGAACAATTGTTTCAGCAGTTATAGAGGTTTATTTATTTCTTCTCCTCTTTCTTACTCAGATTAGACTATCCAGTTCTTAACTCTTGTTTCTGTCCTTCTACATTGCTTGAGATGTAAAGTATTTAAACTGTAAATGGTATCCATTCTAAAAAGCAAACAGATTTATAAGCTCTACATCCCCTTAAATATGTGGACAAAGTCTTTCAAAATGTTAATAAATACAGGAGAGCAAAATAAAAATAATGGCTGGGAATAGCATATAGTAAGATCTGAATGGTCAACATTTATTGGTATCTTACTTTAGGAATCTCCAAGTAAAATAATAAGAATAATCCTATAAGATAGTAGTAAATATATGATTTCACTTTATTTTAGTTAGGTTTACTGTTGTATTACACTCACCTTCTGTAGCAAACTGCTCCAAATGTTTTAGGGTAATTTCTTTGTATTTTGAAGTTTCTGCCAGTCGGTCATAAATTACAGTGTCCTGGAAAACAAAGAGAAGGTATGATACACTTAAACTAAGCATTCTGAGTTGAATAAAGTTGATGTTGGCAACATTATTAGCAGCGAATGAGTATTTAAAAAATCAATTTAGCATCAGCGTTGAAGCACAAAATATTTTTCCTTAATAATACTGCTTTCCTATGACACAAAGAAAGACGGTCTAGTCCTATATTTTCATCTTTTCCTTTCTGAATAAATCCAGTTATTCCAACATTCAAAATCTCATATGCTATCAATACTTCACTTACCTGTCATGTGCTGTTAGATCTCCCCTCACTGCCCCCCAAAGATTTTGCGGATGGCTTCAGCATTCATCCATGCTATGAGGAAGAATGGTCCAGAACTCAGACAGCATGGGAAATGTCAGACAGAACAAAGCTACAGAGCGTGTCCTGCTGCAGGGCCTCAGAGCCTCTAAAATGCCAATGCACGCAGTGGTTCCAAGGGAGCGGGCTGACAGATGCCCAGACTTCACTACGGAACCTTTCAGGACTTAGGGCATCTATGTGGGGTTGGCGCCCACAAAAGAACAGACTGAGAAACACATGCTAAATGCATGGAGCAAGCTGGTGGCTATGGCAGGGAGGACACTGGACAACCTGAGCACTGCCTTACAGCTGAATATTTCTGATTGTGTCACTTTAGCTTCAAGATTCAACTGACTTAGTCTGTAAAATTAAATTACTGTATTATCTTTAAAGGCCCTTTCAGCTTTAACTTGAGGCGTCACTGCATGACTCTATTGTTCGCCCCTTTATAAATTGCCTATTGTTCCTTTAGTTATTCTTTAGCTTGGGTTTAATGTTTTAAGAATTTTAGTATTTGGCCTTCATGGTTTTATTAGACCAGGAAAAAATAAATCATTTACCTGCAATTACTTTCTCAGTGGTATTACCCATTTTGGGGTCTCCAGTCTCAGGGCTGAGTTGGAAGCAGACTAGTGAGGTATGATTTAGAACCCTTGAGAGAAACAGAACTTAGTGACCTCAGAACAGATGCAATATTCCAGGCTCCAATTATGAATTTCTTTTCATTTCTCAGTGGTGAAATGGGAAGCGGGCAAAGCAAAAGGAAATGATAATTTCCCCTCATGGGTCCTTTCTGAGAATGAGAGTTCTGTGTAACTTACAAACTCTATTTTTTTCCCCAGAGGTTAGTGAAATTTTCAGTGAAATTAAAACAGGCCATTCTAACACTAAGAAAATACTAAAAAATTAAAATCATAAAAACAAAAGTGATGAGTAATAAGGAAGGCTGGGGAGATTAAACTCTCCAGGTAATTAAGCATTCTAGTGGAAATCGATGGTCGGACTGGGGGAATTCTCTACCTTCTCTTCAGTATAAGGAAAGCAGCGGGCGGAATGTGGCCTTCTGCATAAACTGCAGTGTGTTATCTCCCAGCCATGTCTGACTCTTTGTGAACTCATGGACAGGCTGCTAGAGCTTATTTCATTGTTTGATGCTTTTCCCTAAGTTTATTTATGATTTCTAGTTTATCTTACATGTAACCCATTCTCCCCTCCCTCAGATTTCTTTTTGATTAAACATAACTGTAATTTTTTATCATGTTGATCTCTAACATCCTCTATCAGAACAATTTATCCAAATAATTTCACCTGGAGCGAGCTCACCCTACATTTGTTTATGTGCTTGTTCAACAACCAAAGAAACTCTAAAACTAAATTCACGAGATGTCATGAAAGGATTCTCTCCCAATCTTTTAAAACCAAGGCATTAAAGAATTATGTCCCAATGCATTAAAACCAAGGCATTGAAAAAAACATTCTCAACAGGAATTTAAATACTAAGCTTGGGCTTCTTAACAAGTCCATCTTTCAAGTTCCATGTGAGAAAGCAAGACTGCTGATTATATTTGAAATTGGAAAGTTCCAAGTTCATAAGTTACCTGATTACTCCAAGCATATAACTATGTACCTGGAAAGGATAAATCTGAAGGGAAATATTAACTAATTTCAAGAATAAAATTATTCTTGAATGATTTCTTATTTTTCCATGAGCATAAACATATTTTAACTAGGGAAATTTCAGTTAGAATGACAAATTACTGTCCTGTCAATATAACCTGCCAAATACCAAAGCCAACCAATAGTTACAAATGCTGTTATAATTAAAACAATGCAAATACAATACAAACGGTAATCACCACATGAAGAAATTACAGCAATAACTGTAATCCATTTCCCCCCATTTCTGTGGCCTTTAAAAAATCAGATTCAAATTGGTGTAGGTTGAGACATTTCTAATTTAATTTTAAAATATCTTCTGTATTTAATTGTCTTCTAACATATTTATAATATACAAACCTGAAAAACTGAATTATAAATAGCCTAGGCCAAACTTTTTCTCAGCACCAGATTTACCCAGAAGGAATTCCAAATTTCACCAGAAGAGGCTGAACACTCGTACCATAAAACACCTCCAAAAGTGGATGTCAGCAACTTCAGGCTAAACATCTGTGTTACATTTCCATAGCAGAATGTTTAACATACACATTATAAACCATCATAAATCAAAATCGTAAAAGACAAAAATACAAACTTACGGCTCCTTTGCAGTAAAGTCGTAACTTCCCGGATGGAGTGCGAACAATCACTGACATTCTCTTTCTAGCGCTGAAAGAAAGGTTTTCCATAATGTGTCATCATAGTGAGAAGATGCATCTATATGTCTGTCATGTCTCACATATTTTAATGCTCACACTGAAAAAATAAATTTAACTAAATTATGAGGCTGATCCCTCCACATACACAAACCATCGTCTGAGTGTATAGCTGAGCGCCTTTGAAAGTCACATTATGTTTTTAAAGATATGCGGGTACCATCTGCTGCCCTAAAGGAATAATTTACAAAATAGCTCCCAAGAAACCTTTGAGTTAATACCCACCAGGGCAGAGAGAGGAGAGCTCTGCTTCAATGTTTTCAGATTTAAAAAATATTTAAGCCAGAACCTTTTATGATAATTATTAAAAAGAGAAATGATAATCAATTTTAAGTATACACCCAATCAAAAGGCATACACTAGCACTTTAAAAACTTACTTAAGCCTTCACAACTATCATTTTTCAATTACTAGCAAACCACTGGCATCATGTAAAAAACCCAATTCATATTACAAACTCTAGTTAATGAGCACAAATGGCTTAACACTGTGTTGGCAATACAGACTGATAAAAGTTCTTAGTCAACCATACACATCTTTCAATGGATTAGCAAAGAGACTACAAATTAACAATGAACAGAACAAGCAGGAATGGCATTGCACAGGATAAGCCTCACTTGGAATGAAGTATGCATAAGCATCCTCTCCAGAAAAAGGGGTAAAAAAGACCTTTTAGAATCAGAGTCTATTCATGTTACCTTGTAACGTTCTGCAGCTAAAAAACTGAGATGAACCCACTACAGGAGTTAGATATAGTGTAGCTGCCTTGAGAACTCTCTCGGACTATTCACTCCTCTCTTTCTCCATCTATTATTTCCGCTGCATCATTCCTGTGCTTTCGGACCACACTGAATTGGGCCGGCTTTGGAACAACGTCTCTGTATTCTACCTCAGCCCTTCCTGATTCGTGTTTCTCTCAATCCAGCTTTGGAGGCGTGGTCCCTGGTTCACCAGCTTCCTTGCTCTTCTCTTCTGGCGGAACTCCCCAATCCCGGGTGAACAGGAATGCCTTCCGGGGTCCAGCAGCGTAAGCGGACGCTGCTGGGGAAAAGCCGTCCTGTCACAGGTTAGTAAATGCTTGGTCCCAGCGTCACAGAGCGCGCCACACTACCTCATCACCCACATTTCTCTAACAACCCTGCTCCCACCTCCTCACAGGACTGTGCGCATTCTCTTACGGTCTCTCCATTCCTCAAGTCTCCAGTATGCCCTAGTTACTCCAGACGCAGGATTTTTGCAATCACCTGGATGGAAGCTTCCAACAAGAAATCCCTATTCATTTGGCCATGAACACTACATGTTTATCTGCTGTGGACCAACCCCTTCTGTCTATTCCTACTATATGGAAACTATTTTTATACCTAACAGACAGATGAATATGAGTTTCTGAAATCCCTATGACAACTAGATGTTATAATGAGCACACAATTAGAACGGCAAGTTCCTGACTCTGATTCATTTTAATTCTGCATAAATCTTGGTGTCCCTAAGTATAATGTTTTCAGATCACTACCCAAGCATGCATCCTACAGTTGTGATACGGATTGTTATGTTCAGAAATATTATTACACTGCCTCCAGAAGACATGCCTTACAAGACTCTGAAGAGAACAGTTTATGATTTTCTTACAAATGACAATTAAAAATTGCATTGAAAATTTTAATATTTGGGCTAAATAAATTTATTTAAATAAAATAAAGCACACTTTCTTCTTACTTAAAAGGGAAAAAGTTTAAAAGGAGGGAAATGTATGACATGCACACAAACCACAGAGCAGATGTTTTACCTGGTGAACTCCAAGACATTGAGCAACTCATATCTTTCTTCCTGCCCCAGCTATGAAGAAAAGGAAAATATGATTACATACAGTAAGAAGTAGCTTTGGCTTCTTGGAAATAAACTCCAGTCATGAAGTTTTAATGTGAAAAATGTCAACACAAATTGTCCTTTCTTAATTGAACTTACTAACTTTTCAGGTTAAGATGGAAGATTGAACAAATGCAATTACTTTTCATCCTTATCAAAGCCCCACCAAAACTACAAAAAAACCCCACCAAAATTAAAAAGAAAGAAACTTACAATGGCGGGAAAATATGAAAAGAGACAATGGCATTAAAAATTTGGAAGCTAGAAAACAGATAAGTGAGATATGCTTAGTTAGCAGATGCAAGGAGTAGCAAATGCTATTGTATACACAGTGGTTATGGGGGAAAAGGTGAGAACCAGCCTGACCTGGATTGAACAATCCCTAAAAGGCCTAGGGAAGAGGAATAACAGGTAGTTCTAGAACTGGAAGGTGAAGGAGCGCCCTACGCGGGAGGACCAGGGAAGGAGCTGCTGTGTGGGCACTGGCTCTTCCTGCCTCCTGGCAGAAGACCAGAGGCTCTGCTGTTCAAGTTTCTTTCGTCTAGAAGTCGGCACACCTGAAGATATGTGCATTGTTATTGCATTTGTACTAAAGGCGAGGCCCCAATACCCCCAACCCACTTGGCCCCCTACATTCTGGCAGCCACATCTTTCCTGGCAGAAGGGTGGAAAACTGTTCTCTTGGGAAGCTATAAGCCCAGGTTGAGTCCTAAAGGTACAGACAACCACGATTTCCCAAACGAATCCCACCAGACCACCCCACAGTGAAGCCCAATGTTGACAAATACCTTCTTATACTCAGAACTGCTGTATCAGCTTGCAAATTCTTTACTCTTAACCATGAGAAAACCAAAGATTAACAGATATCCAAGGACAGCTATTATCATGAATCACAGATACCCAAAACAAACAGATAAGAGCAATTTGGAAGAAAGAGAATTCAAAAAGAAAACACCGGCGTTGGCCTGGGCTTCCTAATGGGCACCAAGGGCTGGTGGGCAGGTCCCGGCTGCCTCTTCCCTCCATTCCCACACCAGGATGACGGGGTTTGTCCTATGCTTTCTGTGGGGCATTTTCTGTTGTCTCATGGGAACTGGATGACTGCGGACTCCTGATGGCGTAAAACCTTCTGCAGTGTTTTACACCCTTGGAAATATGGTTAGATCCACCAGTATATGCTTGTTTATGGGACCCATGAAAAAACAAAGAAAATGTCTGAGACAAAAAGCTGCCTGTAACAATGGTTATGCTTCTGTGATTAAGATTCACGGCTTGTGCTGCTCTTTGGGGGCATAGGGGGAGACTGGCCTTATTTCTCTGAATATTGCAGCTCTCATCAAAGATCTTGCATAGCCTATTAATGCATCCCATATGCAAGTGGTGCAGTAATTAAATGCTCTTCTTTTTCTCCTAAGTAGAGAATGAGAAACTCCAGAAAAGAATATGTGAAAGTTGATGTTTAATTTTTGGTGAAGTATGCTTCCCCCAGTGCAATAATCAAAACAACTGTAATGACAGCTTAAGACCATTTTATGTTCCAGTAAAATATGCTTATTTAAACTGTTTGCAATTTTTTTAAAAAAGAAAACATAAAAAAGAAAAAAAAACTACCATTATTCCTCTCAGAGAAGTAACATAAGTACAACATCTACGAGGGAAAAACAGGATACTATTAAAAAAAGAAATATTGAGAAAACAATAAAAGCTTCTGGAAGCTAAAAAATGTAATAGAAACAAAAAGAAAATCAATTGAAGTCTAAGAAGACAAAAGAGAGGAAAACTTCCAAAAAGTAGAACAAGAAGGCAAAAACACGAAAAGCAGGATAGAAAAGTTAAAAGATGAGCTCAGGAATTCTAGAGAGCAGCAAAAAAAAGAGGAAGAAAAATGAACAGACTCATCCAAGAAAAACTTCCAGAATGGAAGGATGTCGATTTCCAAATGGACAAGTGTCCACTCAGTGTTCAGTACAGTGAGTTAAAATAGTCTCACTACGGTACAGGGTTGTGAAGTTTCAGAACTCAGATAAAGAAGGTCTCGCAAACTTCTTGAGGGAGGCAGTGGGCAAGTCACAAAAACTAGAGTCACAGTGGCTTCTGACTTCTCAGTTAGGCATGCAGGAAGCCAGGCAATAAAAATTCCTCAGGACACTGATTGCCACCCTGGAATTCTCTATTCATCAGGACCACAAATTAAGTATAAAGGTCAGATAAAAATGTTTACACTTAAAAGGACTAAACAAGAAGTAACTTCCATGTGCCTTTTCTCAAGAAGCCAATAAAGAACATTCTCCAGCGTAGGCCAAGAGCAAGGAAGACGAGGGATTCAGGAAACAGACGATCTAACACAGGAGGGAGTTAGGGAAACCCCCAGGGAGACGGGGAAGCGCTTCCTCTCGAGAACCCTGAGCGAGTCTGAGTTAGGCACCACGGCAGCTTGGAGGCCTGAGTCCGGAGCGGGCTCAGTGAGGGCGGTCACTGCCGTGACTTCTGCTGCCGGAACACCTTCCCAACAGGATGAAACGGACAGAAAACGCGTTCTATCAATGTCAGGCTCTAAGAAAGAAGTTCTGACTTACAGGAAATAGCCAGCCCCAAACAGGAGACAATCAAAAGGAATTTCAGGTGCCACAGAAGCTGACCTCTGAACAAAACTGGCCCAGAGTGAGAACAGGGGCGGGGTTGGGGCACGATGCTTCAGGAGGAAGGTCTCAAGGCAAAGACTGCAACTGCCCACTGGCCAGATGGTCTGGTGTAATTGTACTGATAAAAGTGCACCCAGAAGTTATGAAACAATTAGAACAATTAGTAATAGGTAGGAAGAAAATGTTGCACTTGGAAAAAACATAAGAGATTTATTTTAAGAATTAAAGAAAAAATTTATTTTCAGGAGATAATTTTGTATCTGAAAACACAAAATTAAAAACAAAGAAAATAAATACTGAATAACACAATGTTTTGCTAGGAATATCAATACAGCCATAATAACATAAACACTAAATAAAAGTGCTTAATGAGATACCATTTATATACAACAGTGCACACAGATCTTGAATATGTAGTTCAACGAAAATTGTATAGTTTGATGAAGGTTTCCTCGGTGTAACCAGCACCCCAGTCAAGACAGAGAACATTTCCACGGTCCTATAAATTCCTTTGCCCCCTTTCCCAACCTCCCCCCTGAGGTGGGGACAACCGCTGCTCTGAATTCTAAGGCCATAAGTCACTTTTTCCTGATCTCAACCTCGATATAAATGCAGAGAATGCAGAGCTCTGTGTCTGGCTTTCTTTTTTCTTTTTTCTCAGCCTGTTCCTGAGACTTACCAATGCTGGTAATGAATCGATCATTTTACTCTTTCTGCATTGCTCAGCTATTCCACTGTGCATCACAATGTGTGGATCCATTCTCCTAGCGATGGACATTTGGTTTGTTTCCAGCTTTTGGCTATCTGAATACAGTTGCTATGAACATACCATGAACCACCCCTCTGCAGACACATGCTTTTACTTCTTCCGGGCAAGTGTAACTACATCTGCTGTGTCAGGAACATGCTTACCTGTACTGGAAAACTCTAAAAGGTTTTCCAAAGGGGCTGTACCATCTCACACATCTACTAGCAACATATAGGTGATCCCCTTGCTCTGCAGTTTCATTAACATCAGGTGCTGCCATAATGTTTTAAATGTTACTTTTCTTGCTGGGCATGTTGTATCTCATTGAGACTTTAATTTGCATTTCCCTGATGATTAACGATGTGTTTTCATGTGCTCACTGGCCATTTGTATATCTTCTTTTGTGAAATGTCTGTTCCAACCTTTTGCCCATATAACATCTGGGTCCAAATACTTGTTTAACCAAGCATTGTAATATAATTATACTACTACTGAAAAGGGATGGTGAGTCAAGAGAAATAATCCCTCATTTAATATAAGTGAATAGAATGTCAGTAGATATCTCTAAAATTGAAGAATTGAAATATATTTCATTCATCACATATTAAAAAAGGATGCATAAACGTCTGAAGAAACAGCTAAAAGAATAGGAAAGTCAATGCTTCTGGAGAGGAGAACGAGAGTAGGGAAGCTCTGTTTTACTATGAGCTTTTTGGTATTATTTTATCTTCGAAGCTTGCACGTGCATTGCTTTGATAAAAAGGAGAATTAAGTAACTTACTGAATCTATAATCACTGAGTCAGGCGTTCTTCCAGTGAAAACAAAATTCAGCTGCCTGGCTGCTCTGACCAAGGCTCCCTCATCTGTTTCAGGCAAACAGAAGGAAGCAAATACATGGTGAAAAAAATTATCCCAAATATGAGAGTAAGACTGCAGTATAATAGTCTGCTTAACTTTAAAATGAATTAAAGTTCTTTTTATTCTGACTCCTGTTATTGAAATGCATTTCCTTTTAAATCATACAATAATACCCAGGGTTTGAGTAGAATGATCTTCAGAATTTGAGACATGTATAGATCCCAGAGGCATATTCTTGAGGGCTAAGTCTCACTGTTAGCCAAACAGACCTAAAAAGGATAACTTCAAAGGACCTCTTGGTCCAGCATATTCTCTACAAAACTTTTCTTAAATGATGTGTACAAATGAGGAAGTCCCATAATAGCAACAACATGGATAGACCATGAAGGTATCATGCTAAGAGAGATAAGTCAGACAAAGAAAAGCACTGTATGATCTCACTTATTATGTGGAATCTAAAGAAAAAAGAGAAGAGAAACCCACCCCCCTCAAACTCTTATAAAAAGAGATCAGATGTGGTTATCAGAGGTGGAAGGTTGGTGAAGGGGAAGTGGAGAAAGGTGATCAAAAGGTACACATTTCCATTATAACATAAATAAGTACTAGGGATACAGTGATGTATATCAATTATTTCTTAATTAAACTGGAAAAAAACGAGTGGCACAAAAGTGCCTTCTTAAGTTTTATCCTTTTCCTCCTAAAATGCTGAATGTAGGAAAACTATTAATAACACGACGAATATTGAGGGGTCAATTTAAAAGGATATAAATGAATTGATGTTTCATTGTATTGCATATTATTTACTCTCATCACCATGTTACATCAAAACATTTTTGTTTTTGAGGGAAGGGTGTGAGATAAAACACCCATATAGTGTCTATCTTAACAATAAAGAGTGTCTGTCATGGTTTTCAGGAATCTGGTATATTGTATGAGGTCGCAGGTGCTGATTTGTAATACAGTTTAAAACGCAGGGGGAGGGGATAGTTAGGAAGGTTGAGACTGGTTTGTACACACCGCTATGTTAAAAATGATAACCAACAGGACCTGCTGCATAGCACACGGAACTCTGCTCAACCTTACGTGGCAGCCTGGATGGGTGGAGAGTCGGGGAGAGTGGATACATGTGTATGTACGGCTGAGTCCTGCTGTCCACCTCCAACTATCACAACATTGTTCACTGACCATACTCCAATACAAAATAAAGTTGTCTTCTTTTTAAAGGAAGCTTACAAAAAAGTTCCCTAAAGTGTGTTCCTTCTTTCCTGAAATCTTAGTCATCAAATTGGCTATTTACCCAATTTTACACTGAAAATAAGTCTAAGTGTGGAATCTCCTCTCTAAGTGCAAAGCTCTTCTCATCCAAGTAAATACACAGCAAACTCCTTGATTATCATTTCCAAAAGAAGAAAAGTTGGTATTCTAAAATCAACACTATTCAGGCAAACAGATCTTCCTTTTCCTGCCTGCTTATGTGAAAAAACAGTTTATGACCAACATTTTTTTTCTTAATTATTTATAAAGAAGGGAAAACGTACTATGCACATAGAGTACCATGTTTTTTAACTTGTATGAATTTTGCTATTCAAATTTCCATGTAACATGTTATATAACAAATATTACACAGTTACGGATTTTAAAATATGTACATATATGTATAATTTTGAAAGCCAACATTTCTAACTAGTAAATAACATTTTTAATCTGAAACAAAAGTAACTTGGTTGTTTTACTTCTTCAAATTAAATTTTTCTGAACAGTCTCATATTTCAGAACAATTTTCAGCCAAGAAATACATCACAATTGCTTCATTTGTACCTGGAGATGCTGCCTGGTAAATAATCTTATCACCTTCCCGCTCCGGTACTGCTGTGTGACATATCGCCATCATTGTGAGAAATTCACATATTATTGGTGCAGTGGGCTGTAAGAAATAAACACGTAATTTAGGCCCTTTCATTTCACCATTATGACACAATGATAGTAGGATTACTTCATGTATATTTATTGAGCACAACTGTTAAATGTTGAGGGTGAAAGCCAAGAAATCAACACTATGAAGAAAAAATATTTTTTACTAAAATCCTTCAGTTTTGCAACCTCTTCATTCCTTTTCTAAACATTTATTTAAGGCCACTTTGTCTTGTTAAATAGAAATAGCACAGTGAAAAAGGCAGATATGGTTGAATCCTGTCTTCAGAGGACAAGAGAGGAATTCTAAAATATTCATTTACCTGGTTCTAATTCCTGATCAGATCTAAATCTTAAGCATCTAATCTCACTGTGGTCCCACTACTTTGGGTCGCGGTGATGATGGCAGAGGATTCCTCTACGATGCTTTGGTCTCTCTTTCCAAAAACAACAACCATAACCTGACAAGTGTTCTACTAAATAAAAAAGGATTGACTGAGCATGTCCTGTGTAGTCATGGCCTGAGGAAGACAGGATCCTTTCTGCAAGGAGTTTTTGAGTTTATAGGAGAATAGCAACCAGATTTTTGAAAATAAACATCTCCTTTTCTGGTTCCTGATGAAGAAGAGTATCACTTGAATTAATAAAGGAAAAAAATTCCTCCATGCTCTTGGATCAAAAAACTAAAATGACTAGAAAGGTACATCAAAACATTATTTGAAAAAAACAAAACAAAACTGTGTTCCGGCTAGAACAGAAGACAAATCAGACATGGTCCCTGCTTCATGATGCTTTGACGTGTGAGGGAAACAGAACATAGACAAACACTACACAAGTATCATTTATTTATGGGCTCCCCTTGTGGCTCAGCTGGTAAAGAACCTGTCTGCAATGTGAAAGACCTGGGTTTGATCCCTGGGTTGGGAAGATCCCCTGGAGAAGGGAACAGCTACCCACTCCAGTATTCTGGCCTGGAGAATTCCACGGACTGTATAGTCCATGGGGTGTTGCCAAAAGTTGGATACGACTGAGCAAATTTCACATCATTTATTTATACTGTGAAGAGGGTTACAAAGGATAAAATGTGTGAAAATCATATAATATGATTGGGGTCAGTTTGTGGTTGTTTTCAAGACAATGTGATCTTTAAGCTGATGAAGTTTCAGCCTCATGAAGGACTGAGCACAGAGTTTTCCATCAAGTAGGAAAAACACATGACTGAAAAGATCCTAAAGCAGGAAAGAATGAAGCATGTATGAGAAGATAAAAGAAAGCCAGGATAGCCTGAGGAGAAAGAAAGGGAGGGTAGGTCCAAGTGAGGCTGGTGACTCAGGCAGAGGCTGGATCACGCAACCTTGTAAGTTGAGAGGGAAGCCAGAGAGTGGTTTTCAACACGGGTTGTGCTGGGACTTGATTTCCACTGGCCTCATTCTAGCTGCCATGTGCAACAAGGATGGGAAGGGTGAAAACGGGAACCAGGAGAATGGTTAGGAGGCTGTTGCGGCAATTTACCTGGGGGATGCTGGCTGTCTTGACTGGGGTAGAGAAAGTGAGAATGAGGTGAACAAGACCTTTAGGACATGCTCTAGAAAGTCATGGGCTTCCCAGTGGTGCAGTGGCAAAGAATCTGCCTGTCAATTCAGGAGGCGCAGGAGATGCCAGTTTGATACTAGATGGGGAAAATCCCCTGGAGGAGGAAATGGTAACCCACTGCAGTGTTCTTGCCTGGGAAACCCCATGGACAGAGGAGCCAGACAGGCTACAGTCCATGGGGTTGCAAAGAGTTGGCCACAACTATGCCACCATGCGTGCATGCACACACACACACGCGCACACACACACACACACACACACACACAGAAAGCTGCATTGACAAGGGCTTAGTGATTCATTACAGATCTGGAGATGGAGAGGACAGACGAAGCAAAGCAACCCTAAGTTCCTAGACTGAGTTATAAGACAGTTGATTGTGTAATATACTGAACCTGAGAACACAAGAAGAGCTGGGTCTAGGTCTAGATTTTGTGGATCTTGAAGCTCATGTTCTGTTGAAAGCAAAAATATCCACATGAATGCACTGCCAGGGCCCTGCCCAGGGGCAGAGGCGCCAAGTCCACCAGTGCCAGGAAGGGACTGGTTCTGGGGTGATGAGCAGGAGTTCAAGTTTTGATGCATGGAGCCTGAAGTGACTGTGAGCAAAGTTGGGGATGAAAACCTAGGCGTGCTCAGTTGCAGCCCCGTGGAATTGCAGGCCCCCAGGCTCCTCTGCCCATGGAATTGTCCCGGCAAGAATACCGAGAGTGTTGTCATTTTCTCCTCCGACCCAGGGATCGAACCCGAGACTCTTATGTCTCCTGCAGCGGCAGGCAGATTCTTTACCACTAGTGCCATTTGGGAAGCCCTTAAACTTCAGAGATCTACTCATTTGATCAGATGGAATTTTAGTAAGTATCAGTAACTTCATAAGTGGAATACTCACATTGGGTGGCAGATGTCTAAAGTTCTTGTTGTATAGATTTAGCACTGGCCTATAATTTTGAGCATGTAATTAATTTCCATAGATATTTTGAAATTGTTAACAATGAGATGTTTCATATAAATAGAGCTCTAAATTATGTAATATTTTTAAAAAGCCAGAGTATCAATAAATGACAGTGTTAAAAGTAAATTTCTAAAAATTACAGATTTGTGTTGGCAAAGTAAAAATAATTTAGAGACAACAGATTTTTATAATTATTAAAAATGATCATGAAAGTAAAATATGGCATATGTAAGCATGGAAGGTAATTCAGAGAAACACTCATTAGTTTTCATTTATTAATGAAAAGATAATGGTACTACGTTTCTTACATGATTATTTTGGAGGTTTTCCAGCAATGATGAATCACTGAATGTTTTTTCATCTCCAAGCTGTGAGCTCTGCCTAAAGGGGAAAAAATGGAGAATATTTGATTCATTTATACAAGCCCGCAGATCTACCTGTAAGTTACTTTTAAAATAAATCATTATGCCTACAAACTCTTAATAAATTAAATCTAATAAATTAAATATAATTTAGTCCACATTTCTAAATAAGATATCACATATTTCATGATTGAATCACAGGATATTTCCAAACATTATAAAATGTGAAAGCCTTTCTCAGTGTTAACAAAAAGTAGCATTTTACCATTCATTTTCCTAGAGTAAAATTATGTTGTAGCCATATGAAGTTTAAAAAAAATTTAATTAAAAAAATGTAACAAAACTGCTAATATGCATGGAATTGAATTTTTCTTTCATAATTTTTCTACTTTCATAATTTTCCAAGGTTTAAAAATTTTGAGAATTAATGGAGTGGTTATAAAAATAATACTGTTTTACTTTAGCCATGAAAACTGATTTGAAGTGAGTAATACTATATGATTACCATATGAAACAAAAATATGAATAAACTGATTACACATTTCTTTAACATTTATCACTAACAAATATCTTATATGTTTATGTACATATTACAGTTACTCTGTAAAGGAGAAAAAAGCCATAAAAGTATATATGTGGTTTTGTGTTGTGGCTATCTTCAGATCAGCAAACTTGAACTTCATATGAAACAAATCAAATGAGAATTGCCTCTATAATCTAGCTATTACTAATCTCATAGTCATGCAATTTAATATCAAAATGTTGAGATTCAAAGGAAGGACAAGGAACATTTAAGTGGAAATGTCAAACCCCAAGAGTATACTTTTTACTGTTCAGTGAAAATATATAGATCTAAAGCTTTTGTGCACAGAATGAAATTTCAGAAGTCGTTGAGGAAAAAATAATGTGTTCAATATTAAACAGCTGTAATCCAGAAAGCTTTTAATCATAATTTTTACAGGTTACAAAGAGAATTATCAGTGCCAATGTGCCAAATATCAAGAGTTTCATATTTTAAAGCCAGCTGCTTGAAAGGAAGGAGAAATCATTGAAGAAAAAAAAAGAATGTAAAATAATTTAACCTAAACCAGATCATCAATATATGTAAATATCTTTTTAACTATACACCATAAAAGGAAGTTAGAGTTTTACAATAAAATACATCTTTATTAATGTGTAACACTTTGATCTATTGATTCTCAATATTATAATATAATACGCCTTTCTTAGCACATAGATTAGAATTCTCAAAAACATCACTAGGAAACAGAATGAACAGATTTATTATTACAATTATTTTAATAATAATAAATTGTTTATAAAATAACAAATATTTATTAATTAAAACTCCTCCTCTTCTTAGTATTAAAGATGAAAAGTCCAAGAACTTTTAAACAACTTATCAATTGGCAGGCAGAAAAAATTAACATACATTTCTCCTCTAAATATTATCATTCTAAAGTTTATTATTCAGGGCTCTATAAAATTTCCCTATTATTTATAAAATGTATCCATTATTGGTTCTTAGTTATACTTTCCCACTTATTAGATAAATTGAAATTTCAAGGAATATTCACAGTAACATCTTGCATGTGGAGGTCTATCTTCCTTCTAAAGAATTCTGGACTAAAAGCTTTTATAAATTTGAAGATGTGTCTTATTAATCTCACCAGTAAGTCTTTCATTTCATAAATCACAGTTACCACAATTGATAAAACTTTCAAATGTATTTATAACAAATAACACTAGATATGCAACTGAAATGTTTACACGGACACAACCTGCCCTCCATTCACCAGTGAAACCTTCTGACATATAAAATGCTAACTCTTCTCCCAGAAAGGAGCTTCCTTTTCAAGATCACAAAATCATCAGCATTTCATCTGCTAATCACACAGGTCTGGATAACTCAGATATGGTGCTCTCATCACCCCTATCTGAAATCTCACAAAATGTCCACTTTTAGTAAAAGTAAACAGATAAAATTAGGAAGCTCAAAGTCATTTCAAAATAAGAACCAATTGCATAAATGTAAAATAGATTAAATTGTTAGCTGACAAAGGTATTTGAATTTGCAAACTGTGCATACATAAAAGTGTAAGCCAACATCTACATTTTGTTAAAACTTTTCATAGAAGTTTTCAAGTGACACTTTGCCTTATAAGGAGACAAAGAAATTATGGTGTTTTGCAAAAAGCAATAATGCAAGAGGTGTAACAGTTAAGATAAAGTGAAAAATGAGCAGTTAATCCACAGTGTCATATAATTTACTGCTTCTTGTAGGCTGATTTAAAAGCTATGATACATTGTAAATAATTATTTCCTAATCATCCAAAAATGAAGAATCCTCATAGCAATAAAAATGAGAAGATTCAGAATTTTATGGATAAACATAAATTACAATAAGTGTGGCCTGATCAGTATTAGGAACCAGAGAAGATCAAATTGCCAACATCTGCTGGATTATCGAAAAAGCAAGAGAGTTCCAGAAAAACATCTATTTCTGCTTTATTGACTATGCCAAAGCCTTTGACTGTGTGGATCACAACAAACTGTGAAAAATTCTGAAAGAGATGGGGATACCAGGCCACTTGACCTGCCTCTTGAGAAATCTGTATGCAGGTCAGGAAGAAACAGTTAGAACTGGACATGGAACAACAGACTGGTTCCAAATAGGGAAAGGTATATGTCAAGGCTATACACTGTCACCCTGCTTATTTAAATTTTATGCGGAGTACATCATAAGAAACGCTGGGCTGGAGGAAGCACAAGCTGGAATCAAGATTGCCAGGAGAAATATCAATAACCTCAGATATACAGATGACACCACCTTTATGGCAGAAGGTGAAAAAGAACTAAAGAACCTCTTGATGAAAGTGAAGGAGGAGAGTGAAAAAGCTGGCTTAAAACTCAACATTCAGAAAACTAAGATCATGGCATCTGGTCCCATCACTTCATGGCAAATAGACGGGGAAACAGTGGAAACAGTGATAGACTATTTTTTGGGCTCCAAAATCACTGCAGATGGTGACTGCAGCCATGAAATTAAAAGACATCTGCTCCTTGAAAGAAAAGCTATGAACAACCTAGACAGCATATTAAAAAGCAGAGACATTACTTTGCCAACAAAGGTCCGTCTAAGTCAAGGCTATGGTTTTTCCAGTGGTCATGTATGGAGAATTGGTCCATAAAGAAAGCTGAGTGCTGAAGAATTGATGCTTTTGAACTGTGGTGTTGGAGAAGACTCTTGAGAGTCCCTTGGACTGCAAGGAGATCCATCCAGTCCATCCTAAGGAAGTCATTCTTGAATATTGATTAGAAGGACTGATGGCTGAAGCTGAAACTCCAATATTTTGGCCAGCTGATGTGAAGAGCTGACTCATTTGAAAAGACCCTGATGCTGGGAAAGATTGAAGGCAGGAGGAGAAGGTGATGACAGAGGATGAGATGGTTGGATGGCATCACCGACTCAATTGACACGAGTTTGAGTAAACCCTGGGTGTTGGTGATGGACAGGGAGGCCTGGTGTGCTGTAGTCCATGGGGTCGCAAAGAGTCGGACATGACTGAGCAACTGAACTGAACTGAATTGAATCAATATTAGTTAATTTCATACATGACAGTGTGGACTACAAAATCATGTCAAATGAAGAGATAAATAACAATTTTTATTTAACTTAAAAAACAATTTAGGAGTAGAAACACCTAGTATTCAGAAAAGAAATAGAAAACAGTGTCTGCATAAAGTTAAAATACTTCTGCATAGCAAGTCAAAAGCCAAATGACAAACTGGGAAGAGAACTATTTCCAACACATAAAATGGTTACTTTATTCAAAATGAAAGGTTAATTCACTCAAAATAAAAAGGGCTCATAGAAACTCACACTAAAAAGATCAAGAATGCAATAGAACAATGAGCAAAGGATATAAACACAGTTCACAAAGAAAGAAATAGAAGTGGCTTTAAATATACATTCAATCTTACCACACGGTGAGAGAAATGAGATTTAAATTTATCAATGTGGCAGAAATAGTTTTACAACCCTGCTGCTGTAATCTTGGAAAAACAGATAAACCATCTATCATTGATGAGAATGAACACTGGTACAATTTCTAAAAAGGAACACTGGCAATGAAAGTGAAAGTCACTCAGCTGTGTCTGCCCCTTTGTGAGCCCATGGACTATATACAGTCCATGGATTTCTCCAGGCCAGAATACTGGAGTGGGTAGCCATTCCCTTCTCCAGGGGATCTTCCCAACCCAGGGATTGAACCCAGGTCTCCCGCATTGAAGGCGGATTCCTTACCAGCTGAGTCACAAGGGAAGCCCAAGAATACTGGGGTGGGCAGCCTATCCCTTCTCCAGCTGATCTTCCTGACCCAGGAATCAACAAACCAGAGTTTCCTGTGCTGCAGGCAGATTCTTTACCAACTGAGCTATCAGGGAAGATCCTGATATTGGCAATATCTAACAAAATTTAAAATCAATATAATTCTTTGAGATCCAGAAATGCCAGTTTCTGGAATTTCAGTCTATTCTGTACTTACACTGTCTCCTGCAGAAGGCTGTACGTACAAATTCATTCTTTGCAGCACACTTTTAACAGCAAAAGGTTAGACCTAACCCAAAGTTTTACTAGGGCTGTTGCTTAAAAAGACTGTGGTACATCCATATAATAATAATGGAACACTATACAAAAAACGGGAGGCTGTCCACAGAATATGGACAAATCTCAAAGATGTACCATCAAATGAAGAGCTGGTACCAAAGTGTGTGCAATGTCTTTCACTTAGGGTAAAAATGAGAAAGAAAAACACGCATACACGGTAGAATAGATCTGGAGAAATAAACCTGAAATGGTTACACTGACTGCCTTCAGGTGGGGAAATGGAGAGTCAGAGATAGGGAAGAGAGGTGTTACTGCATTATCAACTTACATAAGTCAAATTTAAATTAAAGATGAAAAACCAGAACAAAATCCAATTATGAGCTGAAACATACACTCTACACACAAACTCAATGCACACATTATATACATACAGACACTACACTGAAACATACATTCTACATACAAACTCAATACATGCATTATATACACAGACGATATGCTGAAACATACATTCTACACACAAACTCAATGCATGCATTATATACATACAGACGCTATACACATCCATGTATGGGAAGACAAAGGCAGTGTGACAAAAATACTGTTTTTTGAATGGATCTGTACCTTCTGGCTTTGAACAGTGCTACTGTTCCAAATCAGAATTCCTAGAAGGGTGATTAATGTTCAAAAATGAAATTGCTGTTCAGCGTCAGGTCAAGTCCAAGAATATAAAGAAGTGGTTGAGTTCAAAAATAATATTTTTTTCTTAGACACTAGTTTTCATCAATGTGGTCTGCTTTTCTGGGTGGTTCTAAAGGATTTCGGAGGGCAATTACAAAAGAGGAGTTCCAAAAACATTCTGTGAAATGGTCCCTTGACTGGAATAAATAAATGACTTGTCAAAGGGACTACTCTGAAGACTAGCTAATTTGGATGTGTTAGATTTGGTTACTATACAGTCACACCTGGAAGAATGTTTTAGTGAGCCTAGTGATGGCAGCAGAATAAATAAATATCACTCACTTCATACATACATACAAACCAAAATGAAACGAGAAGAGAAGACCAGAAAATGATACTATCCAGTGATACTGTGCTAATACTAAAAGCCACAGTAAATTGGCTAGGCACAGAATACTTACTTTGGGATTTTCCTTAAAGTAATAGTGGGGGAAAATACAGATGAACTGAAACTGGCTTTGAGTACATATTATTGAAATGAGTGAATGAGAACATCTGTTTTCTTTTTCTTTTCTTCTTTTTTGAGTACATCTGTTTTATACTGTTATTTATGCTTGAGATTTCCCCCAAAAAATCAGAAAAAGAAAAAAACGTAACAAAATATATAGCTTTGGAATATAATCTTATCTTAGGGCTACATGGATGCTTATAACTAGTAAATATTTTTGTGCAATCCTCCAAATATTGATACTGTCTAAAGAATGGTAGATTTTAATAGAAATGAATTAACCTTCAAGGTTATGTCAGCTGATGTAGGGCACTTGGCAATAACAAGAAAACCATCCCAATTCTGCAGGAAGTGGCTATTGGTTGGGAAATGATTTAAGCGAGTAGTTACCGCCATTATCCAATTATTTTTAATGTCAAGGAAGTGTTTTTGAAACTGTCACTATAATAGTTTGCCATCAAATTTGACTAAATGTAAATAATCTACATATTTCTGTTGTTCAGTTGCTGAGTTGTGTCCAACTCTAAAAATCTACATACACGTATGCGTTAAATAATATGTGTTTTTTAACTTGGTATTTTTGTGGCAAATACGGTTGAAGAATGATAGTAAAATACATGGTATAGGTCACAGATTTTATCTATAGAATCGATGAACTTCACATTGAAGGGTGAAGCTGCTGACAGTCAGACAAGAATCAACTTTAGGATTTTGGATTTACAGAGTCAGGGGTACTCTCCAGTTTACCCGAGGACCAGCAGCTCATTCAATCAGGACCACGCTTTCAATCTTGGCTTCACTGGCGATATGAAATCAAGTGGACCCGATCTGGCAAATGCCAGATTTAGGGTTGTGACAAGCTGTGTCCCCCCAGGCTAACTTTTCTCATCAGCCAGTTAAACTATACTTGCTCTTGCTACCCTAACAAAACGAGAGAGAAAAAATGAAATAACAAATAGTAAGGATACCTTTTTTCTAAATGCAGATATTTCTGAAGCTCTTTAAAGTCTATTGGATGTGATATAACCAGCACCTACTTAATACCCAGGTTGAGCAAGGTTTTAACTTTTTCTCCCATGTTTGCTGGTTGTATACTTTGAGGGAAGTTACTTATTAGCTTCTCTGCTTAAATTTCACCAGCGTCAATTCAGTTCAGTTCAGTTCAGTTCAGTCGCTCAGTCGTGTCCGATTCTTTGTAACCCCATGAACTGCAGCATGCCAGGCCTCCCTGTCCATCACCACCTCCTGCGTTTACTCAAACTCATATCCATCGAGTTGGTGATGCCATCCAGCCATCTCATCCTCTGTCGTCCCCTTCTCCTCCTGCCCCCAACCCCTCCCAGCATCAGGGTCTTTTCCAATGAGTCAACTCTTCGCATGAGGTGGCCAAAGTACTGGAGTTTCAGCCTCAGCATCAGTCCTTCCAATGAACACCCAGGACTAATCTCCTTTAGGATGGACTGGTTGGATCTCTCTGCAGTCCAAGGGACTCTCAAGAGTCTTCTCCAACACCATAGTTCAAAAGCATCAATTTTTGGTGCTCAGCTTCAATTACAACTCCTCAAATACGTCTTGAGGATTAAGTGAGAGACACTGGAGCTGACACTGAGATATTCTTCTAAGCACTTTAAAAACAGAATTCATTTAATCTTTGCAACCTCCCTATGATGTCTACATTCTACCCAATGAGGACCCACAGGCAAAGAGATTAGATAGCTGCTCCAGAGCAGCATTAGGACCAGGATGTGAACCTGAGTGGTCAACATCGAAGTCTGCATCCTTGACAACTGCCCAGGACCCAGGACACAACTGAAGTTCAAGCCGTAGCGCTTCCTTCATCTTTGCTGCTTATAGGTAACCACTTGGTAGGTCAGGAAATCCAAGCAGATATTTAAAATAAAGCTTACTCTATTAAACAGTTGGCAAAAACCTTCCCTAGTGTTTATTTCTTAAAATATCATTAATATCTAAGTTTATATGTAATTGCAAGTGGAACTATACAAAAATGTATGAAAAAGTTGACATTTTAAAATTTGGAATTACTCAGTTTAGAATATCAAGTTTCCAGAAAGGGTGTTTTACATTAAAAAATTTAAACAGATAAAATAATGTCTCTTCCCAATAGTGATAAAAATCATGAAATAACCTTGACTGAAAGGAGAATATTTTAAATGACCCAGGTAAACAATGGTTAACATTTTCATCCAGTCTTAATAAGAATATGGTGAAGGTAATTTCCTTCTCAAGAAAAAGTGATTTATCTTAGAAAAAATATATATTCTAAAAATAAAAGTATATATTCAATTCTATTGAAAAGCAACAAGTAAAAAGATATAATCAAAATTTTAACTAGGTTCTCAAAAGATTAAGTAGAAGAGACTATCTACATCATTACACCTGAATTACCCACCAACAGTAAGGTGTTTTGGCACATTTAAAAGACACTTAAAATTATTCAGTTGTGGGCAGGTGTTGAAATGCATGACACTCCAAGCAATGAGCTTACGTGTAATGAATCATCAGTTATCACATGAACCAAACAGCTGCCTCTGTCATTAACTCTAGGTAGTATGAGGCTTATTGCAAATTGTTACCAAATCTCCACTTTATTGAAATAAAATCCAAGTTGAAAAATAAGGCTTAATCATAAAATACCGTGTCATCTGAAAATAGAAAAGTAATCACATATAAAGCCATACTGTTTTTTACAGTTACCAGCATTCAAGAAATCTGCTTTCTGAAATTTCATTTGCCACCAGATTGCAATGAATTATTGAGATAAACTCATGTCATTCTAAATGAAAATGTAAACCATGGTGAGGATTTTAACATAAGACAAAAAATCCAATATGTATGGAAATTAAGCTTATAAAATGCTATTCAATAATTCTAAAATTAATTATATTCCTGTTAACCCTAGTCCTTGGTAGCATACTTTCCCAACATTTGTTCCAGATATCTCATTTAAAAATGCTTATGTTATAGCCTCCAAACTGACTTAGCAAATTAATGAAAATAAATGTAAAGGAAATTTTCACTGTGTGGTTATGTTCAGTAGCATTTTTCTGTGGCTCTGTAGAGTATACAAACAGTGGCAGAAGGTGGCAGTGCTGAGCTAAAAAAAAATAAAATTTATGAAGCTGTCCCTGAAATCTTAGGTAGTCCACAGCCCAGGGACTCTAAAAGTTGATTGTTATCGATTTTATTATAGCTACATAGCTCCATAAAACCAGCAAGCCTAAACTTTGAACTAAATGTTCATAAAATGATTAAAGGTTACTCAACAGGACATCAGGGCTATTCAACGGATTTGTTTGTTTTTATTCGGCAGATTTTAAGAAATACTTTGCAGCATTGTCATCCTGCCTGATTGGTAATTTTTTTTCAAAGTAGTGAAGTGGATCTAACAAAACAATAAAATGCAAACCTTTTAAATGGATCAATGGGACAGAAAGATCCATGCAGCTTACCATTCATCAGGAGAGCAGCCATAATCCTCGGGTTCAGGGACATGGCTTCAGAAAGCGAGAGGAGGGGCACAAAGAAAGGAGAAAATAATCAAAGGAGGGCTGGGAACACAAAAGCATGAAAAAGGGAAGTACTGAGAGAAGTGTCAGTCAAGGAAATAAACTTTCAGCTGATCTGGAAAGAAGGGCAGTTAGTATAGAAAGTATAATTTATGGTAACTAGGCAGATTTACAAAGTTGTTCTTTCATGGGATAGCCAACTTGCGTCTTCACCATGAAATTTCCCAATTTTATGCACAGGTATCAGTATTCAGTAGAAAATATTAAACTTAAAGTTTAAATACAGGCTAAAGTCAATGTAAAATTCATCACACAATGCATAATGAGAATAAAGGGTTTTAATTAAAAAAACATGTTACTAAGAATAAACCATCACACTGATAAAATCTGCCAAGTACATTTCAGAAACAAATTTGCCTCCAAGGAGGGGTGGTTCTTTAAACAGGTATATTAAAGCAAAAGTTAGTTACATTGATATAGCTAAAGAGTGCCACACTGCAAAAGATGAACATTTTAAAAGATACTCAAAAACGTTCACTTAAACCATAACTCAGCTGTTAAACAATTCATTACATCAAAAGAAAACACATTCATCAATACTTCATTTTCATCCATTGGCTCATCTGAGCACTGGATCTATGTATAGCTTTCATTTCAACCAACCAGTGATGTGACAGAAATGGTCCATAATACATGACAGAGCAGATTTTATTTTACTTCTTTATATATTTATTTACTAAAATTTTCTTTTTATTGTTCAGATTTTTTCCCGCTGTCTTGAGACATATGACACTGTGCGAGCTTAAGGCGCACAGGATGACCTGATGCTGATATATGCTGCCAAGCGACTGCCTTCATGCGCGTGTGTGCTGACCTGCTTCAGTCGTGTCTGACTCTTTGTGGCCCCATGAACTGTAACCCACCAGGCTCCTCTGTCCACGGGGTTTTCCAGGCAAGAACACTGGAGTTGGTTGCCATGCCCTCCTCCAGATCTTCTCGACCCAGGGATTGAACCTTGGATTGTTCTATCATCCTTTTAGCTAACACTCCCATCCATCACCTAATTACCATTTCTTTTTTTGTGGTAAGAACATTTAAAATCTACTCTCTCAGCAGCTAAAACAGATTTCCTTATTTCTTGTTTCTTTCATTATACAAGGTCATTCAATAGTTTTCCTTTAAATTAAATGTATTAGATGTAGGTAGAGTTTAAAGATGCAGAGTTCAGTATAAAGCCACTGTTTTTGTTAAATATACAATGTTCACTGAAAACTGGGGAAAATCCTCTCACTTCCTAAGAGCCCTCTACTTCTCACCCTTCCACCAAACTGGCCATGCACCGACCTCACCACTCTAAGGAACCTCCGAACCATCAACTGTCTCCAGGGCCGGCTCCAACCACCCGCTTCACTCCAATCACAGTGCGGGGGTGGTCTCCTTTCTCACTGTCCTCTCTTCTACCAAAGGATGCTTTTAGATGCTTGAGGGGAAGGACTAAATGGGCCCTCAGCGAGCCCAGAAAAAGCCAAGGCCTCCTGCCAAGCTCTGTGAAAGCCAGCTGCAGCCCAGGGCTCTAGGCATCACTCCTCATCAACCTCAGGGCTGAGATGAGTCCCCGAACCGCAGCAGCGGAGGGTCTGACGCTACCCCGGCAAAAGCCCTGCACCAAGGCTCTGCCAAGCAGCCTCGGTGGTGTACAGCAGACCGGGACCTCCCACTGGGAGAGGGCCTGGGGCCTCTGGGCTCAGGGCCGCGCTCCCCGGCTGTGTCAACCCCGCTGACATCCAGGGCTATTCTGAGGAGATGCGCAGCGGGCGACCCGTACGTCTGTTACTTTATTCCGTCTGCAGGAGTTTCCCCAAGACCACTGCCCTGGTAGCTCTGACGTGTGACCTCTGTCTGGTTATTTGCCGTGGGAGGTCAGTGCTGTTACATCTGCTTGCTGAGTTCTTAAACGCATTCTTGATCTCAGCGTGAAGCATCCCAGAGCCTGGTCTCAGCGATTAGATCACACCCCTCCACCGTGTCCCCAGTCACAGCCTCACACAGACCTTTGTACTGCATTATGATTTTATAATGGTCTGCCTGATGATTTAATTACATCCATCAACCTCCAATTAGACTATAAACTTCAGGGGGGTGGAAGCCAGGTGAACTTTGGCTGATCATTAAATCCCCAACATCTAACAAAGTGCTACATATTATACATAGAGATGAACACTTGTTGAGGCATGAGAATAAATGAATGGTTTTTACCCAGCTTTATCTACCAGCTATGGTGAGACGTGAGATACGTTTATTGGTTATAACATAGACCTTGGGGCAATTTTGATAAATGTGAGGTTTGTCATGGTGAGTTTCCTCTCAAACTTAAAAAAGTTGCCAATTCTTTCAGCAAACATTGATAAACAAAATACTGTCAAGTAAAACTACTCACATGCTATTTTCACATGTAAATAAAGATTATTATTAGGAGCATTTGGTTTTCACTTAAAGGGAAAAAGTCAGTGAAATGTTTTTAATACTGATTAAAATGACTTGCCCATACAAAAATATAATATTGTTTAACTTGCTTTACAGACTTTAAAAAAAAAAACAAACCAAAAAACTTTTCCCAGTTCATCAGCTCATTCTAATAGTAAGATTTTAAATTATCATCAAAGACAGTTCTTAGGACTTTAGCCGAGAATAACCACTATACTGAGAATTCTACCCACTGAAAACATAAAAACCTCATTACCTATTTCTGGCTTTCAAGTAACTGTGATAAAACTGAATTAGTATAAGAAGTAATTTGTTGAAATTATGCCTTAGTAAATGTTTAACAGCAGAATTTCTAGTTTTTAATAAGCTAGATTTATAAATATGATATCACAATTATTTACATTTAACTAAAATCTAATGACACAGCCTAACAAGTTTAATCATGGCGGTACTTCTGACAAAGTTAATCTTTACAAAATAAACATCATTGCTGGGTGTGTACGAAATCTTTTATTTCATTGACCATCATGAATCCAGTTTAGGGCCAAAGTTAAAAGAAATGTGGGAAAACTTACTAAGACTAAATTTTGGAGCCTTGTTTTATTATGTTCAATAGCCTTGTTAAATATCTTCCTACAAATCCATAAAATACACTGAACGAGGTAAAGATTATACTACCAAGAGACTTTAGGTCTTGTCTTTCAAACTGATAAAAGCCAACAGAACTCATCTTGGACTCTGTGTAAGGTAGAAAGAGATTTTATTTTCTTAAAAAGTGCTTAAGAAGCATCAGCTCTGAAATCATAACCCTAAAGGCGTTTGTTAGTATATAAAACTATGTGTTATTTTCCTTTGTTTTGCTAAATTCTGAGACAATCTCTATGTTTTCTTCTTCTGGAGGTGAAAGAATACATGGGTATTAATAATAGCTCCCCATGTTAAACAATGTAAAACATACCATGGGCAGACAGGACAATATAACCATGTTACGGCTCCTTTAACCCAAGAGCGCCAGAGGAAATGCCTACAGGAAGGTGGTTTTCAGTCGTGACTCTTTCCTGTGGAGTTTGACAGAATTAAGTAACAACCGCCTGTCTCTCCTACTGTAGTCAGCTGAGGAGTCTAAAGTCTCTGCTTCTCTAAAGCTTTCCCGTATCAACAACTCTGCAGTGCTGACGTCCCAGCTGTCCATCAGAAATGCTTAGGGGAGGGGATGGGACAATTGCTTCTGAGGTCAATAACTTTATGAGTTTTCTAGTATTGTTTCTTAAAGAAAAGGAGCCTTTGTACTTTTAAGTATTATATAAATTTATCATATTGGGTGAGAGTCTGAGGTTTCTGAACTGGAAACTTCCAGAAATCTATATCTCCATGCAGGTACCATAAACATAAAGTAATAAAAGGAATAAAAAAGCTCAATCAGGGTTAAGGATTCTAAAAGCACATACATGACTTACTGGAAGTAGTTTAACAACAAGTTTCACTTAACAAGGCTCTTGGTATTCTTGAAAATACGATACATTATCCAAAGTGAAATCCATTTTTATTTCACAGTTAAAAACTTCAAATAAAGGAATCACTATTTTTAAATTTCTAAACATCACACAATTTCAGATCTGAAAAGAATCTTGGAGATCATCTGGTCTCACCATTCTCATTTTAAAGAGTTTGAAAAATTTGAATGGAACTGTCTAAGGTCATACAGTGAATGACAAAGCTAGGACTATGACTCATGTCTTGCAACTGCAGCTCAATGTTAAGATATGTGGTTTTCCCAAGAGGAAATTTGTTTCATTGGAAACAATCTAAATCATGACAATACTTAACTGTCTTTAACATTTACCAGTCTCAAACCCACTCTATCACAATATATAATACATGTGTTCATGATAATATCACCAATAGACACATGAAGAACATTGTTCTTTAGAACTACTGCCTATAAGTGCTTAAGAACTTATTCCAGGAATAAGAAAAACCTTGTAAAATGCAAAAGAACACCTAGCTATTATTCTGGTTCTCTGTTCTGATAGGTTCACAATCAATAACTACTAATTTGAAGAACTTGCTTATTTAACTGAACAAAGTAAAAAACGGATGTCAATATTACCAAAACAGAACCCTCTAAAAATAACATTTATGAATGCAAGCAGAATGTGCATAAAAACAAACATCACCATTAATTTGTCACCAAGTATAATACAACAAACTCTAGAATCACAATAGGCCCTTTCTTCTCTCATCAGGGATAACTGTGGGTCAAATCCTTAAGTGCAAAATGTCAGAGAGTGTAGCACACCTCTTCTGTACCAGCAGCCAAACAAAGAGGCCTGAAGCAACTGGGGGAGGAGAGAGGAAGTTCTCTTTTGTCTAAAGGAACTGGGAGATCTTCAGATAAAGAGGGAAGATGCAAAAGGGTATCCTGCCCTGGAAATAGATAGTAAGCCTGCTTCTTAAATTAGCAGCTTGTCCTTATAGTGTAAAAAAGCCATTCAGTCAAATGTATTTTTAGTTTCACTTACCCACAAACTTTACAGTCACTTTCGGTCATCCTTTCTAACTAACCCAAAGAAGAGGCATAGCTGCCTCCATCTATTCCTCTTTACAGACCACGGAGGGGAGTCATCACATGCTTTTAGAACTCTTTACCAAGAGGTTATTTATTTATACTTTTAACTAAGGGCATTTTCATAATTCAGTACACTATTTCTATACTAGTTTACTGCTTAGAGACAGAGCAGGAGTGGGGAAGTGGGGGTCCAAGCCAGAAAAACCCCAAAGCAAGTGTCCTTGCTTGCATGGTTAAGACACCAGTCTTTTGCTGGGAAATTTGATAAAAGGCCAGGATCAATCACCCAGAAGGATGTTTCATCTGTGATCATGACTTTTCAGGAGATGCAGAAATTAATTTTCTCACATTACCCTACAAAGTGTTTCAAAAAGGAGGCTTTTGAAGTTTAGGCAAGCATACCTAGAATTAAGAAAAAAATGGGTGCTCAGCAAGCACATTCTAAAGGACAGATTCTATGACTGCAAAGAGGAGAGGTGATAAAAAGAAACCAGAGGGCTAGCTCTCAGAGAAACAATGTGCTTTAACACAGGCATGCTGCATGGCAAGTTTATGGCAATGGACAGGGAGTGTATTTATACCTTATTGCCAGCGCCAGATCAGAGATCTGCGGGGCAGCTCTAAATACTAAAATATTATTGGGTAGGGTGCCTACCTCATCGTAATTCCAAATGCAAAACAATACCAAGCTATAAAACATAAAATGTACATGCATGCTGAAGTCAAAACAGCTGCTTTCTAGATTAAAAAAAAAAAAACCCTTCTCTAAAAAGAACTCCAATTGTACCAAACTGTTAACACTAATTAAATGTGTACATCATAAGGCTGATTAAAGGGAAAAAACTCACCCGTAAGCCACTCCGGCTATGGTGCACTTCTTAAACTGCATGACATTGCACGTCAAAGTACCAGTTTTGTCAGAAAATATATATTTTACCTAAAAAAATGTAAAATTTCTCATTAGAATTTCGGAGATCATTTTAAGCCAGTCTTTTATTAAAGGGCTTAAAAAAAAACAACACCCTTTCATCATTATTCTTTTAATCAGTTATGTTACGCTGCAGGGGCACAATGTACTGTGCTGTGCTGAGTCACTCAGTCACGTCTGACGCGCTGCGATCCCATGGACCGCAGCCCGCCAGGTTCCTCTGTCCATGAAATTCTCCAGGCAAGAATACTGGAATGGGTTGCCATGTCCTCCTCCAGGGCATCTTCCCGATCCAGGGATGGAACCCAGGTCTCAAGCATAGTAGGCGGATTCTTGAATGGTATGAATTGACTACTTTCTGCACATCATCAAGGAATATTTTCAACTATTTCTTCTAGCTTTTTAGCAGAGAATCATATATGAAGCGAAATTCTCTCAAGCTAGCAGAGAAACGACAGCCATACAGAATTCCGCCTTGACAGTCTGAATTTGCACTAGTAAGTGCCTCTATCGTTACTTAACAGGTGCTTGCCTGCATGCTTAGCTGCTTCAATCCTATTCAGCTCTGCGACCCCATGGACTGTATTCCTTCAACTTCCTCGGTCCATGGGACTCAGAGCACTAAAATATCTTTCAACACCTCTCAACAAAACAATTATGGGATTGGTGATGGCTTGCTTGATTAAAAATAACTTGATACAACATCTGAATTGGTAAGAAAAAAAAAACAGCTTTGGTTTAAATGCTACCTGAAGAGTAAGACTTAGCAAATGGCAATGGTACAAGAAAAGTAGAATCCTTTCTTAGGATTACATATAATCCTAATTGAATTACAAATATATGCATATATGTGAATGAATTACATATAAATGAATTACAAATATATGCATATATGTGAATATAGGATGAATTATAAATTTTTTTTCATTTATTTTTATTAGTTAGAAGCTAATTACTTTACAATATTGTAGTGGTTTTTGTCATACATTGACATGAATTAGCCATGGATTTACATGTATTCCCCATCCCGATCCCCCCTCCCACCTCCCTCTCGACCCGATCCCTCTGGGTCTTCCCAGTGCACTAGGTCCGAGCACTTGTCTCATGCATCCAGCCTGGGCTGGTGATCTGTTTCACCCTAGATAATATACATGTTTCGAAGCTGTTCTCTCGAAACATCCCACCCTCGCCTTCTCCCACAGAGTCCAAAAGTCTGTTCTGTACATCTGTGTCCCTTTTTCTGTTTTGCATATAGGGTTATCGTTACCATCTTTCTAAATTCCATATATATGTGTTAGTATACTGTAATGGTCTTTATCTTTCTGGCTTACTTCACTCTGTGTAATGGGCTCCAGTTTCATCCATCTCATTAGAACTGATTCAAATGAATTCTTTTTAATGGCTGAGTAATATTCCATGGTGTATATGTACCACAGCTTCCTCATCCATTCGTCTGCTGATGGGCATCTAGGTTGCTTCCATGTCCTGGCTATTATAAACAGTGCTGTGATGAACATTGGGTTGCACGTGTCTCTTTCAGATCTGGTTTCCTCAGTGTGTATTCCCAGAAGTGGGATTGCTGGGTCATATGGCAGTTCTATTTCCAGTTTTTTAAGAAATCTCCACACTGTTTTTCATAGCAGCTGTACTAGTTTGCATTCCTACCAATAGTGTAAGAGGGTTCCCTTTTCTCCACACCCTCTCCAGCATTTATTGCTTGTAGACTTTTGGATAGCAGCCATGCTGACTGGCGTGTAATGGTACCTCACTGTGGTTTTGATTTGCATTTCTCTGATAATGAGTGATGTTGAGCATCTTTTCATGTGTTTGTTAGCCATCTGTATGTCTTCCTTGGAGAAATGTCTGTTTAGTTCTTTGGCCCATTTTTTGATTGGGTCATTTATTTTTCTGGAGTTGAGCTAGAGGAGTTGCTTGTATATTTTTGAGATTAATCCTTTGTCTGTTGCTTCATTTGCTATTACTTTCTCCCATTCTGAGGGCTGTCTTTTCACCTTGCTTATAGTTTCCTTTGTTGTGCAAAAGCTTTTAAGTTTCATTAGGTCCCATTTGTTTATTTTTGCTTTTGTTTCTAATATTCTTGGAGGTGGGTCATAGAGGATCCTGCTGTGATTTATGTCGGAGAGTGTTTTGCCTATGTTCTCCTCTAGGAGTTTTATAGTTTCTGGTCTTCCGTTTAGATCTTTAATCCATTTTGAGTTTATTTTTGTGTATGGTGTTAGAAAGTGTTCTAGTTTCATTCTCTTACAGGTGGTTGACCAGTTTTCCCAGCACCACTTGTTAAAGAGGTTGTCTTTTTTCCATTGTATATCCTTGCCTCCTTTGTCGAAGATAAGGTGACCATAGGTTTGTGGATTTATCTCTGGGCTTTCTATTCTGTTCCATTGGTCTATATTTCTGTCTTTGTGCCAGTACCATACTGTCTTGATGACTGTGGCTTTGTAGTATAGTCTGAAGTCAGGCAGGTTGATTCCTCCAGTTCCATTCTTCTTTCTCAAGATTACTTTGGCTATTCGAGGTTTTTTGTATTTCCATACAAATTGTGAAATTATTTGTTCTAGTTCTGTGAAAAATACCATTGGTAGCTTGATAGGGATTGCATTGAATCTATAGATTGCTTTGGGTAGTATAGCCATTTTGACAATATTGATTCTTCCAATTCACGAACACGGTATATTTCTCCATCTGTTTGTGTCCTCTTTGATTTCTTTCATCAGTGATTTACAGTTTTCTATGTATAAGTCTTTTGTTTCTTTAGGCAGATATACTCCTAAGTATTTTATTCTTTTTGTTGTAATGGTGAATGGTATTGTTTCCTTAACTTCTCTTTCTGTTTTCACATTGTTAGTGTATAGGAATGCAAGAGATTTCTGTGTGTTAATTTTATATCTTTCAACTTTGCTATATTTGTTGATTAGCTCTAGTAATTTTCTGGTAGAGTCTTTAGGGTTTTATATGTAGAGGATCATGTCATCTGCAAACAGAGAGAGTTTCACTTCTTCTTTTCCTATTTGGATTCCTTTTACTTCTTTTTCTGCCCTGATTGCTGTGGCCAATACTTCCAAAATTATGTTGAATAGTAGTGGTGAGAGTGGGCACCCTTGTCTTGTTCCTGATTTTAGGGGAAATGCTTTCAATTTTTCACCATTGAGGGTAATGCTTGCTGTGGGTTGGTCATATATAGCTTTTATTATGTTGAAGTATGTTCCTTCTATTCCTGCTTTCTGGAGAGTTTTAATCATAAATGGATGTTGAATTTTGTCTAAGGCTTTTTCTGCATCTATTGAGATAATCGTATGGTTTTTATCTTTCAATTTGTTAATGTGGTGTATTACATTGATTGATTTGCAGATATTAAAGAATCCTTGCATTCCTGGGATAAAGCCCACTTGGTCATGGTGTATGATTTTTTTAATATGTTATTGGATTCTGTTTGCTAGAATTTTGTTAAGGATTTTTGCATCTATGTTCATCAGTGATATTGGCCTGTGGTTTTCTTTTTTTGTGGCATCTTTGTCTGGTTTTGGAATTAGGGTGATGGTGGCCTCATAGAATGAGTTTGGAAGCTTACCTTCTTCTGCAATTTTCTGGAAGAGTTTGGGTAAGATAGGTGTTAGCTCCTCTCTAAATTTTTGGTAGAATTCCGCTGTGAAGCCATCTGGTCCTGGGCTTTTGTTTGCTGGAAGATTTCTGATTACAGTTTCGATTTCCTTGCTTGTGATGGGTTTGTTAAGATCTTCTATTTCTTCCTGGTTCAGTTTTGGAAAGTTATACTTCTCTAAGAACTTGTCCATTTCTTCCAAGTTGTCCATTTTATTGGCAGAGAGCTGCTGGTAGTAGTCTCTTATGATCCTTTGTATTTTGGTGTTGTCTGTTGTGATGTCTCCATTTTCATTTCTAATTTTGTTAATTTGGTTCTTCTCCCTTTGTTTCTTAATGAGTCTTGCTAATGGTTTGTCAATTTTGTTTATTTTTTCAAAAAACCAGCTTTTAGCTTTGCTGATTTTTGCTATGGTCTCTTTAGTTTCTTTTGCATTTATTTCTGCCCTAATTTTTAAGATTTCTTTCCTTCTACTAACCCTGGGGTTCTTCATTTCTTTCTTCTCTAGTTGCTTTAGGTGTAGAGTTAGGTTATTTATTTGACTTTTTTCTTGTTTCTTGAGGTAGGCCTGTAATGCTATGAATCTTCCCCTTAGCACTGCTTTTACAGTGTCCCATAGGTTTTGGGTTGTTGTGCATATATGTGAATACAGTATGAATTATAAATTTGAAATTCCTGTTTGACTTGTACAATTTCATTGATAAACTTCCTTTTTATTCCCCTTCCTTTCTGATCAAAAGCTATGAACAATTTTAATACTGGGAGTTTATAACTCAAAAGTAGCCAATACTTTATACGCTAATCAGATTATATACTAAAGGACATCTCTCTGTGAAATACCTTATCCTGAGAACAGAATATGCATTAGATAATGTTCATTCACTAGAAATGAAAATTGACAGTTAGGTACTAACATGTACTTATTTATGCCAATCATTCAAAAAATGGAAAATCAGGAGCTGTCAATTCATCTAAAGTTGTCACATACAGCAGAAATTACACCAAATCTGACTTCTAATTCAACATATCAACAAGAAGTTTAGTTTACCTGGCCAAGCTCCTCGTTCAGGTTAGAGGTCCGAGCCATAGCGGCAGTGTCGGTGGGCTCATAGCGCATGTCAAGATCCTTAGGAAAAAAAGAGAGAGATCATTGAATGCAACTCATAATAAGAGATTTGAATACAATTTTATTTAACTGGAGAGCTATGGAGGTAACACTCATCTCCAGCCATCTCTAACCATTTCATTTCCTAAAAAATACTCAATACAGAATACCATATTTCTCAGGAAGGGCAGAACAGGCTAGTCAGAGCACATCTCTGGAATCATGCAATCTTGGCTTACTATCATTCCCCCATTTCCTAGATGAGTGACCTACTATAAGGATTAAATTAGATAACGGAGGTAAGGTGCCTCCTCTAGTGTCTGACATGATGCTTCATGTGAGCTAAAATAGCAGTAACCAAACACTGCTCAAATAATTTAAGACTTTAAATCCCTGAAAAAATTACCAAAGCAATTCCATCCTATTGTACTGTCTTGACCAAGTCTCTTACATTGTATATACTTGAAAACAAAGCAGACACAAGCCAGGGTTTTTATTGACAAAGCCAGGGTTTATTGATTCATATGGCAAGTGAAAGGACCAAATCTGATCTTCCCTACATCTGTACTTCGGGCTAATCAACATCAGCTCTGGAATAGGCACCTCGTTTAAAGAAGGACAGTAAACAAATGGGCAATGTTTAGAGAGTGGTGACCACATCAGGGACTGAGATGGAAATCATGTCAGATGAAGAACTGGAGGAGGCAGAGAATATTTAGTTGGGGGTGAGGACGATAGAATAGGCATGGTAGCTAAGTTCAAAGACTTTGTAAGGCTGTCATCTGGAAACGAGACAGCCGTTTTCATAAAAGATCTACTGGGAAGAACCAGAGGAAAAGGAAGGCAGTTACTTATCATCTCATTTCTATCCAAGGAAGAAGCTGCTTGGTAAGAGACTATCTATCAGGAATGTCAGAAAAGTCTCTATATATCAGAAAAGCAGTTGAAAAACATAAGCCTTCTAGGTACATACTAAAATTATGTAATTATTTGAAACAAATATTACTTTTGAAAACCCAAATTTAAAAAAGTGACCAGTTATTTGATTTTCATAATGAGCTACTTAATTGTTTCTATATGTGGAAAACCTTCAGTAAGTTTTAATTGTACTTATACAACTTTTTCAGCAATAAATTGAGCTATGCCTCCAACTCATTTCAGATTTCTACATTAAATTGATCTTTTACCAATGAATTAGAGATGAAAGGTTGAAGTGGATCATTCACCATTGGAAAGACAATGAACAGTTGCAAAAGCAGCATATTTTTAAAATCCTAATATTGTTCATATTGAAAGACTTTCAAATGATTGAAAAATCAAAAGATACTAAAATTTCTCAAAATAAAAAATTATACTTTCTGGCAGATTAGGTTTAAAGACTTAATTTACATAAATTTATTAATTTTAACTTTGGTGAAAATAACTGAAATTTAGTTGGAGAATAGTAACATTTTATAAACAAAATACTTAGGAAACAGATGCCCAAAACACTTCCCTAAGATTAGAAAAAAACAAGAAAAAAAATTAAGACTACAAATTCAAGCACAGCTGAAACTGTTTATAGTGTGGAAAAATACACTACAAAGATGAATAAAACATGACAGACAACTGGTTGCTGTGAGAAGCTAATCACAGCATCATGTCTATAGTGCTCGATTGTTTATAAAGTTGTCTGCTATGTCACAAGAGTCCCTTGATCTATATAAATATTGTGAGATGCAAGTAAAGCTTGTTTTATTATTCCCATGTGATTGGCCAAGAAAGCAAGTCTCAAAGAGGTCAAGTAGCTTTTGGCAAAGTTCACACAGCTAGTGTACTACAGAATTAGAACTAAAATCTAGTATCTTAACTCTAAATCCAACCACAGACCTATCTTCCTGAGCATGTCTGGTCTGTAAACTTGTGTGATTCTGACGTGAGAGACTTTGTTACAATTTTCACAAGTCAAACTAGAAATTCGTTATTGTTAGATTATAATTAGCCTTAAAAATATTTTGAAATGTAGTCAATTAAAAGTAAGATAGAATTAAGATTTTTTTTCTGAAAGATCAAAAGACCCTATCAAGAAAAAAAAAGACAAAATGTATGTTGAACATAATGAAGAACAATAGCAATGCATATTTACCCAATTTATGAAGTATGCCTGGGTAAATTTCACCACTTCTAATGTCACCAGCAAGCTGATAGGAATGAGGTTATTGAAAAGGATGATGAAGGTCAAGAAATTCAGTCCAAAATTATTAGCACCACCATCTATTGGGGGAGGTAGAAAAAAGGTCATTTACAGTTTTATATTTTGTTTGTATTAACCAGAATTTTAGCATTATAAGAACTTTTCATGTTATATATCTAGAAGGTTGGAGAGGAACAGCGTGCTGATAACATATTCATATTATCACATACAGTCTTCAAGATGTAATAGCATTATTTATATTCAAGATGTTGTGAACTCTAGTAAGAACTGCATAATGGTACTAAAAAGAAAGTGCTACCAAATATTTCAAACTCATTCCAATCATGAAGTTCAGAGGTATTAGGGACATAGAAGTTTAGAGATATTAGTTGAGGGAGAATCTCAACTGGGTAGAACAAATTTTTGAAAAGCATTTCTAACTTGAAAGATGTGTTAAAAGCAAACAAACAAAATATTAGCAGCAAAACCAACCCAAATAGCAACAACAGTGTAGGTCTGAATCCTACTGTAAATTATATTCTTATTCTTTAACAATGTAAATAAAACAGTTATCCCAGATAAATTGTAAAGTATACGAAGAAACAAAATGATGGTAGTCTTAGCAGTTCTAATGTTGAAATAGCAAACCAACGACTTATTAAAAGTCAAGACCCTTGAAATAATTACAAAGCTAAATCAATATAGTAAAGAAAAAAAACAGAAGAAATCTCTTTTGACATAAAATTTTACTCGAATCTGCTTACACCCTCTCGGAAATTAAGTATTTATTGGTTAAGTGCTCACCAAAAGGAAATGTAAACTTATTTCCCAGAAATATTCAGTAAAAAGATAAAAGGAAACTATTTAATAGTAGTTTCCCTAAAAAAAGATGATTATCAACACAGAACTCACTGCAATTATGAGTTCAAATGAAAGTACATTAAACATTTAAAAACACGTAAAATTCTTTTTGATGATTTAAATATACTCAATCTGCTTTCTTTACCAGATAGCTATATAACCACTTGTGTTAAAAATAAAAGAAATCAATAAATTTAAAATAACATTAATAATATAACTATTTTGGAGAAACCACTATAGTTTTAAGGATTCTGAAATTTTAGAGATTGTAACATTTTACTTAACTTTTACTGGAAAGTGCACTGAAAAATAAAGATTAAATGTTCTGTTATCTTGGCAACAAAGTTTTCTTTTTAGAAACAGGAAATTCCAATATCAGTTGTGAAACAAACTCATGTTTTCATGAAAGAAAAAATAAGTACAATAAGCACTTCGATGCTCACAGTTTAGATTGAGATACCAGTCCCTTCCAGAATGCCTTCGATTCCAAATGGCCGAGCCCACAGAACAGACAAGAGACATGGCAATCAAAATACAAAATAAAATCAAAATCTGCACATTTGTAATCCTTTCGACATTTGAGAGTTTAAGTGGCGGACTTGTCGAATTCTGTAAAGGGAAAACAAAGATAAGTAGTAATGAATGTGTACAAATAATCCAGTAATGTGTATCTAGTATTCTGGTGAGCATGACAAAGTCACAACTCAAAGTCTACATAGGATCCAACACAAAGCAATCAGATGCAACAAGCTGTCAAAAGTTAACCACCTCTCTTCCTCCACCACATCACACAGTTCTTTTTCTATGACATAAAACAAGAAAGGAGAGAAGCGAATAAGACGCCTTTTGAAGACACAGCTTTCACACTGTGGCAGGGACGCAACAATGCATCAGCTGACGACCTAAACAAACGGTAGAGGAAGACGTCTAGCATCTCAGCTCCCAGAGAGAGGCAGAGAAGGTGACCTGCGAACCATAGCCAGAGATGTGGAAATCCCAAACTATGAAGACACTCTGGTTTGCAGGGTTTTTACGGTGTTTAGTCACTGTTTTAGCACAGCATGAATCTAAGCAGTGCTGGCTATCAAGAATCATTAACTGCAGTCCTGCTTGCCTGTGGATAACATCTTTGTGCCTTTACAAGGAACAGTTACCAGCCCTCAAAGCAGATTTTCATTGAGCATCTTAAGACTGAATTTCCCACACCCATGTAACCACTGAACACTCAGGATGTCTCAATGCAGAGAAGGAGCACCCACAAGCCTGCGTAAACATTTTAAGTGCCAGGATTAAAGCGGATTAAAACTGGTGTCACATAAAAATGCTCTGAAAAAACAGGCAACATCTGACTCACGAGTTTTTCTTTCAGTTCTATTTAAAAAAATAAAATAAATTCTAAAATTTGATCATTGTCATAAAATTATAAGAGAAAACGCTTTAATGCAGAGCACTCATCATTAAACAGACAACTTTTGCCGATCACTGCAATTGTTAGTAAACACTGCCAATGGACCGGTATACAAAATCATTAGGTGTTCATGCACTGGCGATCTCTGGTGGAACTTTGTAGCGTTCTTGTGTGGAGTCAGCCATTTCACAGCCCCGCCCACTGAAGACTGAGATCTGGATGCAGAGTGTAGGGCTCAGGTATCTTTAACAGATGGTCTGCTATATTTATCAGGACTACACCAAGAAGGGATACAGGCAGTAATGCTGCAAACACCCAGGTCCCTAAGGTTTTCATAGACAAAAACCTCACCTGCATTAGCTTAGTGTCATGTCCAGTGTAGACAACTATTCCATGAACCCACTGTGTATTTCTCAGCTGAGCACCTCGAAGAAGAATCTGGTCTGCTCCCAGGGGGACAGTGCTGTGACAGATTATGTTGACATTAGAACTGACATTTCCCCAAGTGCTGAAGAACTCTATAGCCACTATATAGTCCTAAGAAAGTTTCTGCTATGACAATAACCCTTCTCATATTTAATTTTTAGAACAGAAGTAATTTCCCTACCAATAAGAATAATTTTCTTACAAAAGGATAGCTGAAGGGAAGCACTTCAGTTACCTCCAAACCAGGTACTTCCTGGTTAACTTCATTATCCAAGATAGCAGGCAACAGCATGGAATTCAGAGGCTCATTCTCAAGCCTGTTGAAGACTTTTCCTGGTTTAGCAAGTCCATTTAGGTTTCTGAGATATTTAGGAGTGGTAAGATTAGGGGATCTGTTTCCCTTCGCTCACCTTCCTTCAAGTTAAAAATAGCTTTGTGCAAAATAAAGGTACAAAAAAAATACACAAGGTAAGAAAATGCATGGATCTCATTGGATACTTTGTATTGCCATCCACACTGCCCCAGAGATTAAGTCTGTGTTAAAATCTCTAGACCATTCATTTATTGTATTTGAAGATCAGTTTTCTGAGAACTGTGAACACATTTTCAATAAATGGTAGCATCTAAAAGTCTTAAACACTCCTTTGAAACGACAGCAAATTGAGATTCTTCATTCCATAGGACTTAAGCCACATTTTTTTTTGTGAATAAGGGTCAAGCTGGTCTTTTGTGGATTTTTTGCAAGGCTACCCACTATGGTAAGTTGTGGGTTAATACAACCTCTCACAGAGCTATCACAAGGGTACAAGCTATTACAAATACAATGGGATTCTTAATGGAATCATACTACATAAAATTTAATGACTCAAAGGATCCTATTATTACTTCTTCATTTTGCTGTTTAAAAAAAACCAAAAAAGGTCAAATGCAATGAAAAATTCATTGAAAAAAAACTTCCAGAAGAAAGAGGGAAAGTCTCCAAGTAACTGTCTCCAGAAACAGACTTTGTTTCTCAGAGAAACAAAGTAAGACTGAAGCTTTCATTTCTGGTGAGATCTTATAATCCAGTAGGGGATCCAGTTGTAGTTTGGGTCTGGGACCTTCTTTTAGGAGCTACACAAATGTCACTGGCTCAGTTGAAATCAACCCAGATGGGTGGGTGATAACAGCCCCTGAAGCCATCTCCTTAAGTGAGCACATCCTGAGGAATTTGTATTCCAATTTAAGAAAAGAACACAGCAACTATAACTCTCATTCCTTATGCAAAACAGCATGCCTTTCAGACCCATTTCAAAGTTTGGGGTGCACTTCAGAGGTGGGCGGGGCCTTCAGGCAGGTCTCCATGAAGCTCCTGGGAAGCTGCCAGATTATGCGCTAGGGCACATAAATGCCAACTGGTCCTCACGTACCTAGAGGTATGACCTAGCAACTGTCAGCTCACCATCTGTGGTACAGATTGACTGGAATGAGGCAAACTCTTCAAAAGCAAAACTACTTCTCAATTACAAGGACTCAACAAGAATTAGTTACTAGTTTTCATCAGAGTTGGAATTCTGAAGTTCCTAGCAATAGACAATGACCTTTATCCTTAATACGATCAAAGTACATTCATTCCAAACCAAAGAGGCTCTGAGAGCACTAGGCAATTACTGTAAAAGTCAAATGTGCTACAAACACAAAGATATTGAAAATCTATGTCCACATGTCATGTAAACTGAAGCATGTTATATAAATTCTATCTGCACCCCAAATCTTGGCACCACCCTGTATGCATTTGCTGGGCATCGATCTGCTGGGGAACAGATAAGAAATGGAAGCTGGCCAGTTAGGGACCTCAGACTACAGAAACTTTACTTGCATAAATGGCCAAATCTATCATTAGTCTATAACCATATGTTCATGGAAAGATCACTCTGTGAAAAATTTAGAACAATATATAATCACTTCAAAACTTACAGGAAGACTGGTGGATCTGTTCAGGGTATTCACCTGTGCTTTATATTTCAAATACTGTAATAATGGAGCTACAAAATACTGAAAGCACTGATAATCTCTCCGGTTGGCGGGGTGAGCTAGAGCATTTAGCGACGTTTAGGAGGCCACTACAAATGCCTACTAGAAAAGAAGGGAGACAGAGGAGATCCCACCTTTCCTGCTAAATTTTGCACCATGTCTTTGCTCCCCTTCGTAACAAAACTCCTTGAAAAAGCTGTGTTTTTTAACTCCTTTCATTATGTCAAGCTAACTCTCATCAGGATCTACCAGTCCTAATAGAGCTCAAGGATTTTCACTTGCTAAATCCAAATGTAGGCTCTCAGGCTCACTGCACTTAATTTCATTGTCTTCAGTGGCCCATCTGCCTGGATATGGGCTTCTTCACTCTCCTGGTTTCTGTGCTACCGATCTGATCACAGTCTATTTTGCCAGTCCCTACTCTCAGTCTCAATGCTGTCCTAAGACGGCCCTCTCCACGTTTCTAACTGTACCCGTTCATCCTCGGTGATTTCTTCCAATCCCATGGCTTTAAATATCTATGCCAAATGCTCTTAGATTTATCTCATGAATCTGGACCTGTATCCCAAATTTCAGGCATATGTGTTTTAACTGCCTCCTGATATCTGTTTGGACATTACCAACTTTTTAAGTCCACAACCAAACAGCTGATATTGGCCTTCAAAAAAGTGCCAGCTGATCTCCATTTCACTCAGAATAACACCCTTACAATGGCATACAAAGCCTAGTACGAGCTGGCCCACTACTACCTCCCAGTTCTTCTATTACCCTCTTCCCCAGTCATTCCACTCCAACCACACTGGCATCAATGACGTACCATAATCGCTCCAGGTACTTGCCCTCTTTCCAGTGATGTAACCATGCAGCTGATAATTTGTACTGTCTATTCCTTCTATCTAGAATCATCTGCCTTCAGATATCCAAATACTGACTTCCTCATCTCCTAACACCTTTGCCCCAGTGTTACCTTCTCAATGCAGCAATATTTGCCTTCCTGCAGCCATACTAACTAAAAGTGATTCCCTCCCAAGAACTCCCAATCTCTCTTATCCTGGGTTATTTTTTCAAAAGCATTTATCATCACTTTCTAACATAGTATAAAATTTTCTTGTCATTTTATTGTTGGTCTGTTCACCCTTCTCTTACTGCAAGAAAGTTGTTTCTCAAGGTCAGGCAGATTTGTCTGCTTTTTCCATCGCGTCTCCTTAAAATCTGCAACTGACCTGGCCTCCTGGGTACAGGGTGACTGGATGAGGGAAGAGGCAGGAGGAGACAGGAGGGGGAAAGAAGGGGATGGAGAAGGGCGGGAAGCAGGCATAAAGGTGACTACAGATCAAATGGCCTAGAAAAGGGCATATGCAGTTACACAGAGACGGCAAGAAACTATCCCCACAATGAACCCGGGTGGGTAGAGTCTGAGCTCCTTGAGGCATCACAGATTACAGGAAAGGACCCAGGTCACAGAGAATGACAGCTAAGTCTGTAAGTATTCCGGCCAGAGAAGAAACCACTAAACAACGTGCCAGAAGCCTGGCATATCCAGGAAAATACCCAGCTCCCCGGCTGACAGGAGCCCTGGGAAGCCTTCAGCTATGTGAGGTGTATGGGCTTAGGAGCACCTTCACCAAAGAACTCTGGGTAGAAGTAACACAAAAATGCTTAAGAAAGAGAGTTTGACTTACCAAACGGAGAGAGTAAGAAAATATCTACCGAGGTCAGTAATACCCTACAACAGAGTGACGTGTGTGTTTTTATGAAGACCAATTTACATACCTGTGTCCATCAAGCCTTATGTTTCCAACAAAATCATAGAGATGTCTGTTTGGACTTTCACACTCAATTCTGCCAGAGAGTCTCATCAAACTGTCAATGTCTTTTATATCTGATGTTGCTGGTAAGCCCTGTTTAGAAATTTTTAAATTAGCATAGAGTATATTAAATAAGTTGTATGTGGGAGGGAGCAGGGAATTCGGAATTCATCCACACCTTAAAATCTAAGAGATCCCACTATTTTAGAACAATTATTCCCCCTTCTCTTCGTTAGATCAAAACTAGTGGATATCTTCCTCTCAACTTGCATGTAGGTTTTTTTTTGAACGTAGGTATTTAGAACAGGGCAGATTTTGCGAAAATTCTAAAATATCTTAAAGAGATTATAAACTAGTCTGCAAGGATATTTTGAATTAAAGTCTTCAAAGAACTGTTTGCTTCCAAAAATAAGATATTTAGCATTATGCAGTCTAAATCTGTCTGCTGAATCTCAGAAAGGGAATGTAGAACAACTAGAATCTATGCCGAGAAAGTAGCTATGTTTTTAGTCTTTCAGTCCACGGAGAAGGAAAACTCCTAGCAGTTTCTCCCTCCGTCCACCAAGAATCGGCTGTCTCTGAGCAGCCTTCACTGCCCGTGGCAGGTTGAGTTCAGATGCTGGGATGACTCTGCTTCCACCACAACCCAACCTTCTCACACGTCATTTTCACCATTGGTCTAGGACCCAAGAGGATACTTTCTTTAATGTCCCTTCTAAAACTTTAAAAACCTTACAGTGACTTTCTATTAGGAAAGGTATGAGAAATAAACACAGAAACCTAACCAATTCTCTGAGATTAGGGAGCCCTTTAGGAATCTTCTCTATGTGGCAAAGCCAAATAATATGGGCCAGGTGAAGGGGAAAAATAAACAAGCTGACACATGTAAAAGCACTTAGAACTATAATATTATCATCAGAGTATTGGCTTTTACATAAAATATTAAAAATATTACAAAATCATTCCTATCTGATGAATCCTATTTAATTAGGCAAGTAAAACTGAATTTTCCATAATATTTAACTCTTGCAGTTTATAAAACCACTTCACTGTGGTTCAATGAGGAAAGACTTGCAAGTGAACAGAACTGCCTCAACTCCAGACAATAATATTAAGAAATAAAGCTATAGGGGTTGATAACAAAACTCAAAAATGTTTCACTTTTGCATGAGAATTATTTTGAGCTAAAGGCAGTGGAGATCCTGAGGGTTCAAGGGAAACTACTGTCCCTCCCTTAACTATCTAGAAGAACTTAAATTATGGGTTTTTCCCAGAGAAGAGTTATTGCCAGAGGTAAACTTTATTTAAAGTGGGCCCATTCATCTGGCAGGGCACACATCTAATTACCAAACATCTGCTCTTCTTATTATCCTGTAAATGGCCCCCAGGTCTTCCCATTCCTTAGCTCAGATTTGCATTGCTGTCTTTGAGGCTCTTATGTATGTGGGATTCGATTATGTATGAAATTAAATTTGATTTTTCTCCTGTTAATAGGTCTCATGTCAATTTCATTCTTAGACCAGCCAGAAAAACCTAGAAGAGTAAAGTTTTCTTCCTCTCCAAAAAAGTTCTCAATTCCATGTAAGGGAACAGTAATAATTCCACAAACCTATATTTGATCTTACCTGTCTAATTTTCAGGTTTGTTTCACCATCTAAGTTGGATGTTTCAATGTAGCACATGGCCTGTGGCTCACTGTTTTTTAAAATGGAAAAGCATAAAGATTTAGTTGGGGAAGGAAACCATAATAACTTATTTAAAATGCTTAGACTCACTGAAGCCTTTCAAACTAAACAAAGGTTTACTTACTTAGTTACTTGATGTCTTTCATTCTAACCACAAAATGCTGCCAGGCAGAACCCATGCATGACAACCCACGGATCAGATGTTCAGCCAGAGGACCCCAAAGCAATATCCTGACAACAATCAGTACTGACCTTCAAGATCATGTAAGTAATTAGATTTGTCACCCTATGCTTAAATCTTTCTTCATATAGACCCAACACAGACTGTATCTGAAATGTAAAGCAGCTTTGTGTCATATCTTTAGCTCAAAAATATCAAGTGAGATCTCATGCTCATAGCCGACATGTAAATTAAGAGATGGATTAGAAAATTCCAGATTGTTGCCTCTATAAACTTGCATTTGCATGTTTGGATTGTATTATACTATATCTTTAGAAAAGATGAATAAGCTTATGTGGACCATAATATTTAAAATTTCAGGCTACTTTAAAAAACTGTACAAACATATTTTACAATGAAAGTGGATATACACTTTCTTTCCCTTATTTTCCCTGTTCTGTTTCTTAGAGCTGCTTCAGAGATTAGTGAGGCAGCAAAAAACCAGCCACCTTGGCCATGACCTGAGCCTAGAGGGTCACTCTATGGGTCCCCACGAGAGTGTTTTAGGCAAGCTCGGTGTGCGGTGGCTGGTGTTAAGGGACCCCTGTTCTCTGGTGTTGCCACAGGTACACTCCCCCACGTCCTGTAATCTGCCCCTTCAAGTGCTAATTCTACTTGCTCAGCAACTACAGGAGGGTGGGCCTGCAGCCCCATTGTATGAGCTGATCCTCAACTATAAGGAAAAACATTTTGAAGTTACATCAAACTTAACAGCATTTGCTTATATGAAAAGCCGATCAATTATCATCATATAGTAACTATGAATGTAATTTCTGATAAGTATGTATACTCACAGAAATTTCTAAGTCACAAACACCTGGAATTTTCTAATCAACTTCCAATTTGTACATGTGTAAAGCAGAAGATTCTGACTTTCAGACATGAGCACACTGCTTAGTTTTATGGCTTGAAGACTTGTGAAAAGTACTGAAATTTGTGGTCATTAATCAAATATTTTACAGATTCATTTTAAAGTAAACTTGCAAGTCCTTTAATTTCTCTATGGGCTTTCTTTTTCTTACATAAAGGCTGATACTTTCTTCCCCAACTGGACAAGTTTTTCAATATCTATATTTTCACTTTATCAATTAAGGTTTTATTTTTTATTACTGTCACAATAGTAATTTAGTTCTATCAATTACTCCCAATTTGTAATTTACTTATGCATATATTCAAAATAAAAATGGTTTATAAAATTTTATAAAACATAACTTCTGATAATACAGAAGGATAACAAATGCTAAATGACCATTGTCAATTCCATATTTTAACAGTGAAAAGCAATAAATTTCTACTGATCATTATAGCCAAGGCCATTCTCAGATCAAATGAGAATAATGGTCTATCTTTTTTTTCTCCCATAAAACAACTTTTCTAGAACCTTAAATGGCAAGTAAGTTAGAAAGTTAAATGCCTGGTTTCTCTTTGAAATGGGGTAAATACAACGTATATCCAAATTCAGAACATTCTCAATCTCTTAAAACAACTGTTTTTGCAGGAGTTCTTGACAATGTTATGAAAAGGCAGCAAGAAGTCTCAGATAAGGAATCATGCTGGATAATAATTATTTCAGCAAATTATGATGACATTCAAAACACAAACTACCAAAAGGCAAAGCAGGCTTTTAGATTAGTTAGTGGAAAGGTGAAACAAGATGCGTATCACAATACAGACACTAGGAGACAGCTGAAGTTGATCAGAGTAACGTGCATGATGTCATTAGTTACAAGTGGGATAAATACTGATCCCAAAGCATGCAGTATCAACTGTACAACATCCAGCTTTGTGCAGGGGGTCCTCTGTAAAGCCCTACAAGCTCAAATTATAGCCACAACTGCTATGGGATTCTACTGAACTTGTAGAAAATCTCAAATATATGACAAATGTTTAAAATTACAAAAATTTCTCAATAACAGTTTTTCATGTAAATCTTAACATTGTTCAGAACAGTATCCTGGAGAGGTACTAAATGAAGTCTTAGTATTTAGGCAAGTTGTTAAAATGAATATATAGTAATGATGCATAGGAAATTAAAATCTACCTTTACTGGCATGCCTCATGGACTCCGACTCCTGTTGATAACAGGAGCTGGATTTCCCCTCTCGAGGGATGAGCTTTATTCAACAATGTATTCATAAAAGGACTTTGAAACAACTGTGAAATATCCATCACCTAGAAGTATAAAATGTTTGTGCTTTCAAGGAAGAGACACAAAGCTCTACCATCTTTGGGTGCAAGCTGCTTTCTGGTGAAAGGTGAGGACCCACATACACACGCCCTGTGCAACTCAGTGGCTCTAACCTTGAGGACAGGCTGATGAGATCTGCTGGGAGATGCTCCCCATTGGTCACTTTCACTATTTCCCCTACTGCCACCTACAGGTCCCAGTTTAAAATAATTAAAACAAAACAAAAAAAATGAATAACAGAGGGGGAAAAAAAACAAACAAATGGACAAAAGAGACAGAAAGTTTGAAATTATTATAGAAAATAATACATGTTAATAAAAATGTCTAATGCCAATTTTTTCAAAACTTATTTTGATCAGGTCTAAAGGCACAAGAAAATGGAATATTTAAGAATCACTTATTTGCTTTTAAGCCCAATTTTCAATTTTTAACACAGAAACTTTTGATTTCTAAAATTTTACTCATAAGCATATCTGAGCAAACTGAATAAAAGCATATTTTTATATAGAGAGCTACTTTATCTAACAGATTTTTCCTTTCTCCAATTCCTCACTCTCTTGCCATCTATTGTAAATCCATTCCTATCTAAGAAGAAAAGAGATAATGGTGAAAACTACTTTTAGGCTTTCGAAAAACAAAGTATACTATACTATCTCTCTCCTACACCCATACTAAAAAAAATCTTCATTAAAATGTTCTGGTTCCAAAACATTTCAAAGTTTAATTGCACAAACATCTTAATATATTTAATGTAAAGCTGCAAAGGCATGGATCTGGAAAGTTATAATTGCAGACTTCTGAATTATTTACTAATAAAGTTTTGGTAATGAACAGTTTGGCAGAACGAGTCTTTGAATCTAGGAGAAATTTTTCAAAGATATGAAATAGATATGGCAAGAATCTGTCTGAAACTGAATTGACAGCTTGGTTTATTTTACAGTATTTTATGCTTTGTGAACCTATATATGTGTTTTTTGTTATATGCTAAAATTTCAGTTTCTTCATTTCAAAATGAAAATCAATGAAACACAGTAACTTTCAACCATGTTCATATTTTAATTTCAAACTGCCTCTAAGAAGGTGTACTGTTAGTATTAATAAATTAAAAATTTAGAAATTAGAACATTATAAACTCTTGTTTTGCTTTTTGCTAAATAGTGCTCACTTGCTGGTGAAGATCACTATGTCCTTATTTTGACAGTGGACAGGGTAGTATAATGAGATACTAGATTAGGAGTTAGGTGTTCCAACCCTGACCCAGTCAATGGATAAAGTGAAATGACTAAAAATAAGACAAAGTCAAAATTCATCTTTCTGTTAATGGTGGCAAAAGCTTCTACCTACTTCTTGAGGCTAATGTAGGTTCACAAGATCCAAGTAATGCAAAAATATTTTGAGAAAAAAAATTTTAAAAACCAATAAAACCCCCCAGAAAGGTGGTACTTTGTCACTAGGTGGAACTATTTAGTAGCACAAGCTTTATACTTTACTTTGATTCCATTAAATAACAAAAAGCAGTGAATCAGATAATCTTTTTAGAAGTAATCATCTGAAGGAAGTTAACCATAGTAGATGTATATTAAGATACGGAAACCAGTTTGATTGACCAATATTGATAGCCACCAACAAATGCTTTTAATGCTGAGAAAAGAAATCTTGTAAAAATGTCCTCAAGTTTAAGAAACACAAGTATATAGCTTATTAGTAGTTTGGATTGGATAGAGACAGATGAAAAATATTTTAAAAACTTTCAACTTAGAATTAAATATAAATTCAAGGTAGCATAGTCAATTATCTTCATATTTCTGAGCATATAAAAATGAAAATTGTACTTAATGTTTCAGCATATGATGGTTTCTATGATAAGTTATGTCTCTATAATAAGTTTAATCATGAAAATATCAAGTTTCCTAAAGTGCTGGAATGCTTCACTATCCTTTTGAAATTTGTTGTATGACATTCAGGTGGTCCATCATTCATTACCTCTATCAAACTTTTACTGAGTACCACCAAGTGTGTATCATTCTGCTGGTTAGCCATTTTTAAAACTTAAAAGACTATCAGCTTAAACTGAAAGCAGAATCAGGGGATATTAAGAGTCTGATAACTTCATCCATCTTCCTCACTTTGAAAGATGTGAAGTCAAGGTTTGAGACAGTAAGTTTCTGGTTCAAAAAAACCATGCCAAGACAAGAACCCTGGGATTTGCTCCAATGATAGTAAGCGTACTGCTGGCTCATTCTCACAGGGACCATTACCAGCATCCTTCAGTTTTACAAACTTGCCCTGATAAAGCTAGGAGCAAAGGGAACTAAAAGCAGAAAGGTTGGTTTTAAAAGCTATTAATTTTAGTCCTTCTGGAAAAAAAAAAAAACACCAATAGGTAAGTGGCACCAAAAGTTCCCAGCTATGAAATACAAAAAAATTACTATAGTTACTTCAACTACCTGTAGACTTACTTCTATAAATATCTAGAAAACTCTTATTGCTCAGTTAAGTTTCCCTAATTTGTCACAAATTCAATCAGTTTAAATAATGACCTGATTAAACAGATTTTGAAAAAAGGACACTGTCCATATTTATATGTGGATTTTACAAATAAAACTGTCCAAGGAAATGATGATAAACAACCTCTAAAATAGTAAAAACATTTTTCTTAATTTATATTAGGACTAGCTTTACAGTTTTTAAGCCTAAAGCCATTTGAAAGTCACATTCTTTAAAGGGTTACAGTGTCATATGACCAATTTATGACTATCTTAAATACGAGCAAAACAAAAATTATCTAAATTCAGTAAGAAAGAACTTAGAAGAAAGAAAAAAGTGCTTTAATTTTTGTTGGAAGAGTATACTGTTTCAAAAGACAAGATGACAAAAAAGAACTCATTTATCCATTTTCTTGTACCAACGCACCACAAAGATCAAGAAACTTTGGAGGGATACATGAATGCATCATAAAGGAATTTATCATGAATGAAGATTGCAAGATAAATCAATAGTACCCAATCCATGTATTATATAAAATAAGTGATAGGAAATCTTACAAGAGTTAGTAGTCTATACAAACAGATCTGAGCACATTCAGAGGGAGCGCAGACTCTTAACTGTAATTATAATTTCTGAATTTTAAAGCATAGTACCGATCACTTATTCTATATGGCAAACATGAAAGAGTCCTTTAAGCCCAATCAATCTTCTTAATGTTTAGTTCAAAATCATTAGAGAGGTTTAAAATTCTTCGTTTATTCTTTATTTCCTTGGAGAAATCACAAGGTCAGTGAGGGTAGAGAATCCATCCTCTACACTGTTTGAGCATCAGTAGGTATCTCTACCTTGATGAGAGAAGTACAGTGTCAGCAGGTATATACTCTTTGCCTTTTATTATAACTATATCTCCAACATTTACCTGAAAGAAAACTGGGAATTGGTTAATTATCTGCATTGAAAATAGTTACAAATACACAACCCATTGTATTTAAGCAGAGAATACAGTAAAAAATGCTTATTGGCAAACAAGAACCACTTATCTTCACAAAATGGCATAAAATTATCTCGAAGTGAGGCCAAGGAGGGAGCAATCCTTTAAAACGAAAAAAGAAATAAGGAATCTGTACTGTACCACCTAAGGAATACAGCTTAATAAAAATCAATTTCATCCACTCTGGTCACTTAATTGGCATCTCCTCATCATTCTCTCCCTATGACATAAAAATAAAAAGGAGGAATTTTCCAGATGACATCATTACCCTGTTTAAGGGAATCTTAATACAACTGGAAAAACTATGTATGTATATATCACTACTCCTCAGATGAACCCTAGTTAAAATTCATAATTTAGAGAGGGAAAAAAAAGAGTTTTAGATTCTCAGTTATTCCCCAAGATCACAGAGGAAGAGCTTAGACTCAAACCCACATTGAGCTGTCTGCAAAGTCTGATTTTGCATAAGCAAATATAATGAAATGATCACTGCATTTTAAATTAAAAAAGAAAAACCAGTTTAAGTCTCTCTCTTATTTTACTACCTGTTAGCATTAGTGTGAGCACCATCTGAAGACAAATTAAAGATATACTGTGTCTGGAAACTTAGAAGGAATTTAAAGAGCTTTTAACGTCACAGAGCTTTTGGCAAACAGTAACTCCAACTAAGTGGCAACTTGGTGTGCTGGCCAAGTTGAGCAAATTACTCTGATAGCCACGAAATTAGACCTCACTCTTAGCAGCCAAAAAAATCTAAAAGTTTTACTATTTAATCAAGAGAAGAAAAGCCCCTTTTCTTGTGGGGGGCAGTGTTAAAGCCTTTTTGTTCTCTCCCCTCTCTACTTTTCCAAGAACCACAAAATAATACTTTTCTGCACGGGCCGGGGCGGGGGGCAGGTGGTGGTGGTGTGGGGAAGAGATGGATGTCCTCAGTGGGAATCACAGTAAGAGACAGCCCACCGTGGTCTAGTTATATACCGCGGGAGAGACCAGTTAGGGAAGTTGGAGACCTTCTCATTTATGCTATGTATGCTGGTTATCTAGGTAGGGAAACTATTGAATACCTTGATTCAAAAGAGATTTGTTTCAAATGAAATCTGGACTCTCTGAAATTGACAAACTGTCAGGGACCTTGGAATCAAACACCCCCTTCCTTAAAAAAAAGGGGAAACTGGGAAAACAAAAAATAGCAAGTATAGGTGTATACTGACCCTTAAAGTAATGCGTTTTAACAATGCTCTGATAGCACTCACTAAAAGCAAGATAAACAGAACCAATTTCTCTGCAGCCAGAGCACCAGGAGAGAATTCTACACAGGTAACCATTTAACTGCTGCTTAATCATCTCCTGTGTGTTAACATTTGCTCTTCAATCAGATGATATTCTTCACAAAGTCAGGATCACGTTTGTCTGTACTAGTGTTAGGAATTTTCATTAGTCTGTTAGACTCTAACAAATTGCACTATTTTCCAAAATCTTCATTCATTGTAAGACCAATGAAAGGCTTATAGTTAGAAACTGAATACTAAAAGAAAGTATCAGCATCTTACAAGGTCTAACATGGTTACCCCAAAGGCTTGGGAAGACCAAGGGCTCAGTGAATGCTAAGGCTGCTCTCATTGCACTGTGAAGGGATTACTCCCTCCTTCTGATGCGGAGGTTTTAACTCACTTTCTCAAACACCTCTTTCTTATTGGGTTCTGAGCTTCTAATGTGACATTCATTTCTGTTTTAAGTCTGGTATGTGCATAGGAATAGACAGAACAGAAAGTCAAGATGCCAAAAATTCTTTGACCACGTTGTTCTAATCAAAGTTATCATGACAAAACAGTTTTAGTCCCCAAAATACTTAAGTTTAAAAAAATACTTAGGGCTTCTGGCCACTACCTTGAGCCTTCTCATGTCATTAATATTAGAGATTATAATTGAGGATTATGAAAAAGGTTATCAGACTATAATAGACTGAAGATCTGATATGCTCAATTGCAGGCTCCAGCATATTTATGTTTTTACTAAGGAATTTCTGAAGATATGAATTCTCAATCCAAACAACTAGATTGCATGGTGGAAACTTCAGGCATTAAAGCAGCTGAATAGAGTGACTTTTACAGGGGCATACGGCCTACTATTCCATGCTTTTCTTTAAAGCCTGAAAAATATGTTGATTCTAAGATTTCTTTACCTAATTTTTCTGCCTGCTACTAACTCAAAAACATGTGAACAGTCTCAACTGCATCTTAACCTTAAGAGCTGATCTCTGTAGTAAGAGTAAAGAAGACAGCAGTTGACTTTCAAGAGTGGGGATTGAATGCCTTTTTCAGGGCTTTGTGATTGTAATATTTTCTTAGAAAACCAAATACTGGCAATTTAACCTTGTAAAACAAAGAAAAGGCTTCCAAACAAAAACTGGAGGGATAAACTGCAAGTGTTTGAGAGCTGAAGTTTGCCCATCTATGAATGACAGGGTGGACACTGTGCAAATTTGTAGGTCCTCTGAGAAACATTAAAAAGCAACCACAGCAGCCACACACTCAGAGAGGCCAAGAAAGAAAGAACCCTGAACTTAAAGCCCATTTGCACTAAAGTTTATCATATTACGCTGGCAAATGGATCAGACTCTTGGTTTTGTTTTATTGATTTCATTTTTAATTGCACAAAATATCACATAAGCTAAACAAAAGACTTGCCTTACAGTCTGGCTAACAAACAGCCAGCCTGTTTTCACACCAGTTCACTTAGTGTTCAATAAATCATTTCTACGTCACCAGCATCTTGGTGTACACCATCCCATTCTTTTCGCCTCTGATTATTCTATGACACAGTGACTCTACTGTGAGCTTACTGCTTAGCACACATATTCAATAAGTATTTGTTAAGTGATGCTATAAAATTTTTCTGTGTGTTGCCACAATATTTGAAATTACAGCTTTTACTTGTCACAAAATATACCAGAGTATAGAATGTCATAATTTATTTATAAAATGCTTTCACTATTTCTGGATATCCATATATTGTTAACTTTTTGCTATTATAAATAATGTTAAATGATAATACTTTCTTGGGATAAATTCCCAGAAATCTTTTTTTTTTTGTGGTTGTCAATATGAAGACCTAAATTGCTAAATCTATAATACTACGTGAATAAAAGACTTTATAAAAATTCTGAGATATAAAAATTTTTCCTTGATAGCAAATGAGACCTCAATATTGTTTAAATTTGCAATTTGTACTATTAGGCTGAATATTATACTGAATCTGGTTGCTTATTACATTTCTTGTTAGTTTTTGTCAACTTTTATTTCCTATCTAGATAACAATAATTTCAATCTTTTGTCATAGTTGGTGCAAATATTTCCATAATTTCTCTGTTTGTGTGTTGCATACTAGATTTAAATTTTATGTAATCAAATTCCATAAATCCTTGAGATGTTGATCTTGTTCTACTCCAAATATTAAGGTTTTTCATTCTATTTGTATGTTTTTCAAAAACAATATTTTAACATTTTCTTCTAGTCAATTGAAATTTATTTTAGCCTAGGCTACGACTTAGACATAAATTGTACTATTCTCAAAACTGCTAATCTGTGGTCCCAACATGATTTATTAAATAATCCTTTTATCAGTGATTTTCCCCTCTTTTATTAAATATTAAATAGGCTTTAGTCCAAGACATTCTTTTTTTTGTTTTATGCTATTCATCAAAGTATATACGTGCAACAGATCCACACTATTTTAATAACTTTTCTTTTCATTTTATTTATACTTGATCCTTGCACACTATTAATTTTCCAAAATAGTCTTCTATTTTCTCAACTGTCTGAAGTTACAATGAATAATTTAGCAAACTCTTGAGGAAAAAGAAATGATCATTTCCCTGAGGTTATGCTATATCATTACTTTTGAAGAAGTGGGGCTGTGTTTTTCTAGGAATATGACACATTTGCCTATTTATGTGAAACTTTAACACTTAAAGTTTCAAGGTTTTCTTTACAGCAGTAGTACATATATTTCAAGTTTATTTGTAAGCATCCCACATGCCACTAGGAATGAGATCTTTTTTCATTGTATTTTTCTAAATTGTTATTGCTGAAGATAGTCATGTCAACTTCTGAATATTTATCTTGAATTCATCGCTGAGCCAACTTTTATGAACTCTAATTAGCTAACTGTCTACTTCCAGGTATTAAGTTACATCAGTTCATTTTGGCTGGATGACTTTCTGCAACATGTTAAATTCTAGCCCTCTGTTTCTCAAAGTGGGATATCTAGGGAAGGTGTGGCACTGAACTCCAAGACAACTGAGAATGCTATCAATCATGGGCTGGTAAATTAATTTTCTTTACTGTGAAAAATTGGAAAAGTTAAAGTAATCTACTCAGTCTTGGAATAATGACTGCCCAATAGAAAAACAGAACATTAAAATGAATTAAAATTAATTTTAGGGTGAGGTAGTGGATGGTTATCTCCCGACTTTACAACTAATTTATTTTCTAAGCAAGCACTCGAGGTAAGAAGAAATTGCTATCAATTCCTTTGGATATGCATTAATGTTAATTATCCTGACAATCCTAGTAAATGAAATATATTTATAATAAAAATCAATTTATTGTAGTTGACTACATCCTACTTGTCTTCTCTCTAGTGTTTAAATCCACAAGTACTATATAAGAGCATAAGGGAAACTTCTTTTGAAACAGTAAATTGAACTTTTTGTTTTTTCTATCTTGTGCCTCTGAAAAAGAGGTAACTGATACAGGAATAAAGAAAGGAAAAGTATCCTCTTTGTTACTTTCATGTCAAAAACCAAAGAGAGGGAGAGTAATGACTTTTCAAATATCCAGAAAAGGAGATGTCAATCTTTATTCTGGCCACCGATTTAAAATAAAAATCCAGTTAGTTCAGAGGGATTCCTGTTACCTGGGAGGATACAAGCTGACTGTGAATGTCACAGGGCAGAATCAAGGGCATGGCCTTTAACTTGGAAATGCAAATAAACTGAGTGTCCTTACACATCTGTTGTCCTAGCAATATCAGAAAACAAGGTCCTGGGGTAGAGTGGCCTTGCTCCAAAAAGTCTCTTACAAAAGTTAGGAAGGTTATTCACTTGTGGATGACTGGAGGTCAAATGGTCTTCCAGAACTAAAGGAGAAGTAACAATCATAGCTTACCTTTTGAAACTGGGGTCTGAAAAGCATATGAATATTTGGATAACACTTGCTAAATTGTGACTCAACTCACTAACTGTTGTGTTAGAGGTCCTATGAGCAAATTAACTTCTTGATGTTATGGAACTCATTTTCAGCTAGTTAGAAGATGATATTTTGTTAGTAAGACTTTTAAGAAAAAAATGAATTAGCAATGTATAAATGTGATTAGTCACAATAAATGAATTTGTAGTAAGATATACAAATGTGAACTATCAGAACGTAATTTTTGTTTTACTTGGACAGTAGATGATTAAAGCAAAAAAACTACAACACAAAACAGTCCATGGTTAAATGAAATCTATGAAAACAGTACTCAAAATATACTATGAAAGAAACAAAAAGTTCTAAATATAACTTTAAGATACTAGTCTTTCTAATATATTGCAGAATTATTAAATGGAAATGACTAACTGAAGAAGATTCCGTGTATGTTTACATTACTTACTAAACAGCTTTCACATCAGTGGAATCCTTGACATTTGCTTATCTCACACACAAAAATTACATCTACTAGAGTACGCCTCTATGCATGTCTTCTCCTGTAACAAAATAAAAATCAATGCATACCTTTTCCCAGTGCACAATTTCCCAAGCACCATTTCTCAAAACTGGAAAGAGAAAAGGGGATAGTTTTAAGAACATTTTTATTACTCATCAAAAGCCTACCTCTGATGAAATGATCATTTTTAAATAAACAGCTTCAAATAAATGAACTGGTAACAATTTTTACAGGTTTAAAAACTAATTGTGACAGCAAAGATACATAAAATTATACAAAGAACCAACCAATGTACAATTTATATCTCACAGTAAAATATTACTAACAAGGTAATCTTTTGCCAAGGGCTTTCTTTAGCACACAAGAGAATTACAGGGCTTGACTGGAGGAGAAAGCCACAAAAATGCTTGAAAAAGGGAGTGACAAGCTTAAAAAATTTCAGAAGCCAGAACAGTAGCAATGCTTAAAAAAAAAAAAAAAAAAAGAAGTTTATAAGCATAGAAGGAATGGATTTCAAACTGGGTAGTAAAAATTTAATACATAAACCAGTAGATTAAAAAAACTGTACTTTTAGCTTTAAAATAATGGAAAATGGCCTGGTTTACTGAGAAGAAACAAAAGGGGGCTACAATTAAATTATGAATGTGAGGCTGAAATTTCTCGGAGTTTTATTACTGGTTTGCAGCAGTAAAGTTATTCGGTTTACTTTCCTTTTATTCCTACAATGCATCTGTGGCAGAATACTGAACATACCCACAGACACTAACAGATAAAACAGAAGAGAGAATAAAGTGAAGGAGATGGCACAGCATGGAGTTAAGAAAAAGAGTAAGTCAAGGTCAGTCAACAGATTATCCGTACAGTACATTCCATGAGGGCAAAGCTAACATTTGCTTTGTTTAATACAATATTCTCTGGAAACAGTACAGTGCTAAGTAGCTGCTGGGTAAATATTTGCAAGATGAATAACTCATAGGCATGAAAACATTAGATTCAGTTTCTTTTGATGTTAGAAGAGATGAAGGCTGAAACTTCTTAAGTAAATCATAATCTCTAAAATGTGCAATATCAAACCTAACACTAATTACATACTCACAGGTCTGAAAACCAGTGCTATAATATAAAATATTCTAATCTAAATATAATCTTTTAGTGTTTCAAAATTTCCTGAACCCAGGGACTATGTCTTACTCATTTCTTTATCTCTACCACTCCGCAGCATTCCTGGCACGTAAGACACTCCAGTGTGAAACAGATGAGTAAGTGCAAGGAGGAATATCTTACAGTGAATTTTGGTGAATCAACAATTTAAATAATTCCAAGATGAAGAGCTAACACGAAAGAATTTCCAGTAACTATATGAATGTTTAAGTTTCAGTTTACAGTTGGGGGTGAAGGATCTGAGCCCCAGCATCTAAAACTGACCCCTATGCCCAAAAGCACAAGACTAATGCCTGCAGAATTCACCCACACTGGGGGCGCTAGTGGTAAAGAACCCTTCTGCCAATGCAGGAGACGTAAGGGACACAGGTTTGATCCCTGGGTCAGGTAGATCCCCTGGAGGCAGGAATGGAAACCCACTCCAGTATTCTTGCCTGGAGAATCCCACGGACAGAGAAGACTTAGCCCAGTTCCACCAGTAAAACTGCCCCTGGAGTATAAGCGTTTCAGAGCACACGCTTAAGAGTACAAAGTCCCGGGTTTAGATGCCGTCTCCATCAGTGCCAAGCAATATCTTCCTCAAAATTAGCTGTTACAAAGAGTAAACAAATGAGAGCATTTTGCCCTTAATCACAGCGGCTACAACATTAAGTACTCAACACGGAGCACTGGAAAAGTGCTGTTCAAATGTACACGACTGAATGATGGGGCAAAAATCTGCATAGATTTAAATTAGAAAAAAAAATCCTGTTCAATAGTACTATTGTCATTTATTTTCTTCTAATCCCATCTCATATAAGTAAACATTCTCCCACTGCAATACCCCACTGTTTAAAAATCAGTGTCCAGTACTTTTAAAATTAAGAGGTTTGACATGAAAAGGAAGACTTCAGGCTCATCTAGAAGCCTGGTCACTTCCTGCACCGTGACCTGCGCTGGGACAGCAGGGGTCACCACTTGGGATGAGGCTCACCGCTCCATCACCACGCTTGTTTCTGGTTTGCCACTGCTGGACATACAGCCTACTTCCCTTATTTAGGAGACCTGCCTGGCTCACACACACGAGGTGTTTCTATCCTTCACTGAGGTATAACTTATAACCAGCTATATAGACCTTAACGTGTTCTGTCCAATGAGTTAAAAAAAACCGTAAACACCTGTGAATCCGCTGCTCAGAGCGCGATACAGACGTCCAGAAAGACTCCTGTACCCTTTACCATCCATTCATCCTCCCGTCCCGAGGCAAGTATAAATTATTCACCATAAGTGAGTTTTGCATGTCACATGCAATGAATTACACAATATTTTTGTACTGAAGTTTCAAACAGTGTATCTGAGATTCTGTTTAAAAAAGTTTATTTCCACCATTAAATTGACATGGTACTATGGGGGACTGATTTTTGGATTCTGTATTTATGCCACTGATCAATTTACACATTTTTCATACCAGTATATACCACGCCTTGATCACTATAACTCCACAGTAAGTCCTGAATTTAGGGAGTCTTCCCACATTGCTCTTTTCCAATATTGTTGGGCTATTTTGAGTTCTTTGCATTTCCATGTAAATTTAAAAACTGAATTGTCAATTCTAAAAAAAAGAATTCTAAACCCTCTTAGGCTTTTGATTTGGGGCTCAAGTGTTTCAATTCATGGGAAGCCTGGACAAGTTTACCATTCTATTAATTTGTCCTCATAAATTTTTTCCAATATGCTTTTGTAGTTTACAGTGCATAGGTCTTTTATTAGACTTACTTCTTGATATTTGATGACTTTTTTCCTTATACTGTAAGTTGTAATTTTTTACTACACTTTCCAATTAGTCATTGGTGGCACACAGAAATGCCTTAAACTTTCATACAATGACCCTGCCACCATTAATTTGGTTAAATTCACTTATTAGTTCTGGTAGGATTTTTTTGTTTGTTTCGTAGCAATATTTTCTAAGAAAATTAATTTCAGTTTGTTAACAATGCTGTATTATGATTTTCTGGCAGTTTTATTGTCCTCATATGCCTCATTGTTCATCTTATTTTTAAACTTCTGCTCTTATGTGAAAACAAAAAAAAACAACTTTCTCTTCCCCAGACTCCAGGATCTGTGACTCGAGAATCTTCTCTTTCCGCTCACTGCTGTATTGTCAGTGCTTCCATGCAGCAACACAAGGTGCCCAGTCAATACTCACTGGGTGGAAGGCGGATGCACTGATGTTCATATGTGTCTGCGGCCATATAAAGCCATAGTAGCAGATTTACTAAAGATAAAGCCCTGCTCCCTAGTAGGTTTCCTATTAAAGAAATACACACAAAGTTTAAAAACAGCTGCAGACAAAGACAGAAATATAGATCAATGGAACAGAATAGAAAGCCCAGAGATACATTCACGAACCTACAGACACTTTATCTTCAACAAAGGAGGCAAGGATATACAATGGAAAAAAAAAACCTCTTTAACAAGTGGTGCTGGGAAAACTGGTCAACGACTTGTAAAAGAATGAAACTAGAACACTTTCTAACACCATACATAAAAATAAACTCAAAATGGATTAAAGATCTAAATGTAAGACCAGAAACTATAAAACTCCTAGAGGAGAACATAGGCAAAACACTCTCCGACATAAATCACAGCAGGATCCTCTATGACCCACCTCCAAGAATATTGGAAATAAAAGCAAAAATAAACAAATGGAACCTAATGAAACTTAAAAGCTTTTGCACAACAAAGCAAACTATAAGCAAGGTGAAAAGACAGCCCTCAGATTGGGAGAAAATAATAGCAAACGAAGCAACAGAAAAAGGATTAATCTCAAAAATATACAAGCAACTCCTCCAGCTCAACTCCAGAAAAATAAATGACCCAATCAAAAAATGGGCCAAAGAACTAAACAGACATTTCTCCAAAGAAGACATACAGATGGCTAACAAATACATGAAAAGATACTCAACATCACTCATTATCAGAGAAATGCAAATCAAAACCACAATGAGGTACCATTACACACCAGTCAGGATGGCTGCTATCCAAAAGTCTACAAGCAATAAATGCTGGAGAGGGTGTGGAGAAAAGGGAACCCTCTTACACTGTTGGTGGGAATGCAAACTAGTACAGCCGCTATGGAGAACAGTGTGGAGATTTCTTAAAAACCTGGAAATAGAACTGCCATATGACCCAGCAATCCCACTTCTGGGCATACACACTGAGGAAACCATATCTGAAAGAGACACGTGCACCCCAATGTTCATCGCAGCACTGTTTATAATAGCCAGGACATGGAAGCAACCTAGATGCCCATCAGCAGACGAATGGATAAGGAAGCTGTGGTACATATACACCATGGAATATTACTCAGCCGTTAAAAAAGAATTCATTTGAATCAGTTCTAATGAGACGGATGAAACTGGAGCCCATTATACAGAGCGAAGTAAGCCAGAAAGATAAAGACCAATACAGTATACTAACACATATATATGGAACTTAGAAAGATGGTAACGATAACCCTATATGCAAAACAGAAAAAGAGACACAGACGTACAGAACAGACTTTTGGACTCTGTGGGAGAAGGCGAGGGTGGGATGTTTCGAGAAAACAGCATCGAAACATGTATATTATCTAGGGTGAAACAGATCACCAGCCCAGGTTGGGTGCATGAGACAAGCGCTCGGGGCTGATGCACTGGGAAGACCCAGAGGGATCGGGTGGAGAGGGAGGTGGGAGGGGGGATCGGGATGGGGAATACATGTAACTCCATGGCTGATTCATGTCAATGTATGACAAAACCCACTACAATATGTAAAGTAATTAGCCTCCAACTAATTAAAAAAAATGGAAAAATCAAACAAACAAACACAGCTGCAGAGAGGAAAACATTTTGGTATCTCCTCTAAAGGTCAAGCGCAGAGCTGTCATGAGACACAGAAATTTCATACCTAAGTGTATATCCAAGAGAA